CACTCAACATTGTTTTTGACATTTTGTCCATATTGCTGTGTACACATTTAATTTTTTAAATGGTACTTCTTTGTATTATCTAAGAAGTCTTCTGTGATCCACAGATCACAAAGATTATCTCCTCTATATTTCTTCCTTTATACCTTTTATCTCATTATATGATCTATTTTGAATTTTTGTGTATGGTGTGAAGGGTTCAGATTGTGTTCCCTATGGTTATCTAGTTTGGGCATTTTATAATATGTCCATATAATGTCTTTGATACTCTTCTTTCAAAAGAGTCCAATTCCTCTCCTCTTAGATGAGGGCTGTCTGTACTTAATGACTTGATTTTTTTTTTCTGACTTGATTTTAATGAACAGAATGTGGCAGAAATATTGGTGTGTGACCCAGATTAAGGTATTCAGTCACTGGGGCTTGCCCCTTGCTCTGTCCCCCTTGAATTACTGTGCAGGAAGCCAGCTGCCAAGTGGTGAGGACACTTAAGCAGTCTTTTGTACAGGTCCACCCACTGAGGAACAGCAGCTTTCTGTCAACAAGCTGAGACCTCCCAGTGAACATCCTGGAAGGAGATCCTATAGCTCTAGTTGAGCCTTCATCTGGCTGCAGCCCTCAGTGGTGTATTGACTGCAACTCAAGAAAGATCCTGAGCCAGCACCACCCAGCTAAGCCACTCCCAAATTCCTGCTACAAAACTAAAAAATATTTGCTGACATCACTGATAAGTCACTAAGTTGTGGGGTAATTTTTATGCAGTGATAGGTAACTAATACAGCCAGTGTTCCAGCATCTTCTAACATCATTGATCAAAAACATCAGTGTTGGGCCTCCCCGGTGGCGCAGCGGTTGAGCGCTAGGTTGCGAAGCTGCCCGCGGCCTCTGCGGTGCCGGTTCGATCCCCGGCTGCTCCCCGGCCACCAGAGGAGGGTCCCACATGGCGCGCAGACCTCTCCTGCCGCCCGCTGCTCCCCTCAGCAGTGTGCTTCAGTCCTTCTGCCTGCTCTGCTCCCTGCTCTGGCTCTGGTGAATTCTCTCACCCTCCCGCGCTTCTGACTGTACCCAGTGCATGTATAAACAAACAAATAAAATAAATAAATAAATAAAAACATGCCTCTATAAAAAAAAAAAAATCAGTGTTTTTCTGAACTCTCTATTCTGTTTCATTGAACTAATTTTGTGCTTATGCCAACAACATACTGTCTTGATTACTTTATCTTTTCTTGTAGTATTGAAGTCAGCTAGTCCTCCAACTTTGTTATGGTCATTATTTTGTCAAAATTGATTTGGCTATTCAGGTTCTTTGCATATTCATGTAAGTTTTATATCAACTTGTCAATTTTTTTTTTAAAAAGATTTATTTATTTATACAAGCACTGGGTACAGTCAAAAGTGCGGGAGGGTGAGAGAATTCACCAGAGCCAGAGCAGGGAACAGAACAGGCAGACTGACGAAATACACTGCTGAAGGGAGCAGCAGGGACGGCAGGAGAGGTCTGTTGCACCATGTGGGACCCTCGCCGGTGGCCGGGAATCAAACTGGCACTGCAGAGGCTGCGGGAAGCTTCGCAGCCCAGCGCTCAACCGCTGTGCTACCAGGGGAGGCCCTGAACTTGTCAGTTTCTACCAAAACATCTTCACATTTCCCCTACCCCAGCTCCTGGCAACTTACATTTTGTGAGTTCAGCTTTTATAGATTCCAAATGTGAGAACATACAGTATTTGTTTGTTTGACTTATTTCACTTAGCATAATTCGCTCTAAGTCCACGCATGTTGTTGCAAAAAGCAGGAGTTCTTCTTTTTATGGCTGAATAATATTCTATTGTGTATACATGTTGCATTTTCTTGATCCATTCCTGTTGATGGACACTTAGGTTGCTTCCTTGTCTTAGGTGATTGTGAATAATGCTACAATGAACATGGAGATACAGCCATCTCTTCAAGATAGTGATCATATTTCCTTTGGATATATAAACCCAGAAGTGAGATTGTTGGATATATAGTAGTTCTATTTTTAATTTTTTGAGATGTCATAGTGTTTTCCACAGCAGTACAAATCTTACCATTTGTACACAAGGATTGGAATTTCTCCACATCCTAACACTTGTTATTTTCTAGGGGTTTTCCATAGTACCGTCCTAATGCTTTGAGGTGACAGCTCATGTCACTTTGATTCCCATTTCTCTAATGACTAGTAATGTTGAGCATCTCTTCATATATTTGTTGGCCATTTGTATATCATCTTTGCAGAAATGTCTATTCAAGTCCTTTGTCCATTTCAAATTCCTGGTTTCCATTTTGGGAGATTTTCTTTTTTCTTTTTTTTTTTTTTTTTTTTTTTTTTGGTGAGACCCTCACCGCGGCCGGGTAACGAACCGGCGCTGCAGAGGCTGTGGGCAGCCTTGCAGCCCAGAGCTCAACTGCTGTGTCACCAGGGGAGGCCCAACATTTTGGGGGATTTTACTGAGGAGTGAAATTGTGGGTTATATAGCATACTATCTTTAACTTTTGAGGAACTGTCAAACTTTTCTAATTTCTCTACAACCAACATTTATATTCCTTTTTAAAAAAATTTACAGCTATCCTAGTGGATATGAAATAGCATCTCATTGTGGTTTTGCATTTTCCTAATAACTAGTCATATTAAGCAATTTTTCATGCTTTCATTTGTGTATTTTTGGAAAAGTGCTAGTTGGTCAGTTGTAACTCTTTGGAGAATTCTATTGGTCCTTTGCCCATTTTTTAATAAGACTGTTTCTCTTTGTGTTGTTGAGTCATAGAGGTTTACTGCATATTCTGGATATTAAGCTCTTCAACTATATGGCTAAATACATGATCTACAAATATTTTCTCCCATCCCGTAGATTCTCTTTGCACCTTCTTGATAATGTCCTTTAATGCACATAAATTTATTTTTTGAAGCCAAATTTACTTTTTCTTCTGTTGTTAAAACTTTTGTCATAAAATTCAAGGTCATGAAGATTTGTCCTTGTTCCCTCCTAAATTGTTAATGTCTTAATGCTAATAATTAGGTTACTGATTCACTTTGAATTAATGTTTGCTTTTTGTATGAAGTAGGGTTCCAATTCATTCTTTTTCATGTGGAAATAAGTTTTCCCAGCACCACTTCTCCATAAAATGAATTTGTCACCCTTGTCAAAAAAATCAATTGGCCATAAATGTATGGACTTATATCTGGACTCTCAATTTTCCCCATTGGTCTATATATATCTAGCCCTATGCCAGCCATCACATTGTTTTAATTACTCTCACTTTGTGTTAAGTTTTGAAGTCAGGATGCATGAGTCCACAACTTTATTCCTTTTCAATACTGTTACCAAGCAATGGGTTTGCTATCTGCCATGCATTCATCTTTCATGTATAATTCTTTCTGTTTACCACACTGAATTTTAACTTTCTATTTACACATAGTTCTTCCTATTAAACTGAGGATTTGTAGCGATCATAGACCCTCTCTTCTTACTAATCTCATTATATTAATATTGGGATGAATAAACCAATGATGGCCAAGGAAGCTGAGCTAAGCCAAAATCTGAATTAGCAGACCATCATTTTTCCCAACAATTCTATTGATAATTCATATACCACTATTAAAAATAGGGAAAACAGGGCCTCCCCTGGTGGCGCAGCGGTTTGAGCCCTGGGCTGCGAAGCTGCCCACAGCCTCTGCAGCACCGGTTCGATCCCAGGATCCCACATGGCCCGCAGACCTCTCCTGCCGCCCGCTGCTCCCCTAAACAGTGTACTTCGGTCCTTCTGCCTGTTCTGCAACCCGCTCTGGCTTTGGTGAATTCTCTCACCCTCCCGTGCTTCTGACTGTACCCAGTGCTTGTATAAAATCTTTGGGAAAAAAAAAGGATAACAGGCCCAAAATGGAATTGTTCATGTTGCCCCCTCACCCCAACTTAATACCTAATTTCTTTGCAGAGCCAACCTCTCCTAACCAATATGTAATTTCCATATCACCATCAATGAGGAGATATGCCTAAGACATCCCCTCCAAGGAAAGATTATTTTATCTGAAAGTTGTTTTTTTCCCCTAATTATCTTGCCCTCCCCACCCCGGCCCCCACTTTCTGTCTACAAATACCCTCCATCTTGTGTAAGCCCTGGCAGTACTTTAGAAAGCATACATGAATCTCTGAACAAAGCCAATGAGATTTCTAAATTTTGTTGTTTTAACACCATAGAATTGACAGGGTTGTGCAATAATCACAAAATTCCAAAACGTTCTTGTCGTTCTAAAAAGAAAACTCCATTTCCTCTATTACCTAATCGCCAACAAATTCCCCAGCCCTGGATAACCTGTGATCTACTTTCTCAGACCACTCAAACTACATAGGTGAAGCCTCAAAATCAATCTCTTTCTGGACCATGGTGTGAAATCTGATAGCTGATGGTCCTACTTTACCAACTGGCACTCAACTTACATTGCAGCTTCCGGTGTGATCCGCGATTTATTAGACTGATGGAGAATTTAGTAGCGCTAGATCCACATTTACTATGGATGGCTGGTGTGGGTTGGTCTTGCTTTTCCACCGTAGCACACCCGCTCTGCCTGTATATACTTTAGCAGAAAAAAAGAAGTAACTGAACACTCAACCTCTGGCAACCACTGCGAAAAGTGCGCGGTAATCAGTTCTGTGGAGGAGTTTAGTCCCTTCGAACATACCATGAACTGAGCATTACGCGAGGAGTTCTTTCCGGAACTTTTATTTTTAAGAGGATTCTTCCGCAGGCTCACCTCTGGAGGGGTGCTGCTCGGCGGGACTCGCGTGAAACATCAAGAACCAGAACTCGGAGTTTCACCGAGGCGCGTCCCCCCAATTGGGTCGAGTCTAGCGTTTGCCAGGCAGCCGCGGCAGCCCTCGCGCCCGTGCATCCGAGTCGCGTACGCAGTGACGTGTCTGGCGCGCGGCGACGGAGTGCGCGGCGCGGTGCACGCTGGGATATTTAAGTCTTCTCCGCGGCGCGGAGCCGCGATGTCTCCGGCGGCTGCGGCGGCTGGAGGAGGCGACCGGCGGCGGCCGATAGCGAGTGTCAGGGACGGCCGGGGCCGGGGCTGGGGCTGCATCGGGCCGGCCGGGGCGGCGTTTCTCGGCCTGTCGCTGCTCGGGCTCGTGCTGTACCTGGTGCCGGCGGTGGCCGCGCTGGCCTGGCTGGCTGTGGGGGCTACCGCGGCCTGGTGGGGACTGAGCCGCGAGCCCCGCGGTTCGCGCGCCTTCTCGCTGGTTCGAAACGCGCGGCGTCAGCGGACGCTGCTGGCCTCGCCGCCGGCCAAGTCGGCGGTAAACGGAAATCTCCTAGAACCGCGGAGCCCCCTCGAAGGACCCGACCCTGCTGAACTGCTCCTCATGGGCAGTTACCTCGGGAAGCCCGGCCCCCGCCGCCTGCCCCCGCTCTGGAGGCCCGGGACCTGAGGGAGCGGCCTGGCCGCCGCCCACCCGCCCGCCCCGCGCAGCCTGCACACTCGGTCCATCGCCTTCACCACGCTCACCCCTCCCTCCCCTCTCCTCTTCGACCCTCTCGGAGGCCTTCTCACCGGTAAGAAACGCTGCTCTCCCCCAGCCACCCCTATTGACTGGCTTTGAATTGAGGACTTTTACATCCGAATTTCTTTTTCAGTAAATCCACAGTAGGTTCTGTGTCGTTTTATCCTCTTTTAATTCTTTGGTGTGTTTCAGCTGTCTCCTTCCCCCCATTAACCTTTGGAATGGGATGTGAGACCATTAACTGTTCCTTCCTTAGAGTTCTTAGAACTGTCTGAATTTTAATATAGTGTAAATTTAGACGACTACTTGCTGAGCCACTGAAGTATACCTACTTCGAATGAAAAATATCTTTCTCCTTTCAGGGTAGTCGTTTAATATTTTTTGTTTGTTTTTTTTTTTCTTTGAAGCTTCAGAGAAAGCATGTCAGTGAGCAGAGCTCCAAGAGGTGTTCCCAGAAATCACCTCTTTGATTGATTAAAGTGACCAAATTAAAGAGACATTCTTAATGTCATTCTAGTAGCTGAGTGATTGATGAAAATAGTAGGATCTTGGTATGTACAATTAGCCCTGAACATCCAAATTTGAATCCACATCCCTTGGTTCAGCTGTCCAGACTCAGATTACCGTGTATTGCTTCTGTACTAAACATTTACAGACTCTCTAAACAATACAGTATCACATCTCTTTAAGTAACATTTTTATTAAACTAGGTATTATCTAGAGATGATTTAAAGTATATGTGAAAGTTATATGCAAATACCACACCATTTCATTCAAGGGAGATGAGCATTAGGATCCTGGAACCAGTCCCTCATGATCCCAAGGGACAACTGTGTGTTTAGTTGAGAAAATGACCAGTAGGTGTTGAAAATGTTTGCTCTGGATTTATGAGTGATGACTTAACAAATTGAGAAAATTGAGGGATTCTTGAAAAGTTCCTCCCTACATGTTCTAACACAGTTTCTTCCATTGTGATTTTACTTGTGTGGGCAGGGTTTTCATTTTCCCTCTCAAATTGTTGACAACCATTGTAGGGACAACTGTTTCGCAGCTGCTACTTTCTGCCCTGGGATGGAATAAGGGAAAGTCGCCATAAAAATACCGTGTTCTGTGTTGTTTAGAAAGAGACATAAGCTCCCTTAAAATGGGTAAAATGGGTTAAAAAATGGGTTCTTTAGTCATTTTAATTTTCTGACATTCTTTAATGTTTAATGTTTCTTTAGTTCCATAATATGTCTCCTGTTCTCTGTAGGGATTGTGGGACTCTATCAAATCGGTTTGTAATAACACCTCGAAGACGCTATCCAATCCAGCAGGCCCAATATTCCTTGCTGGGGGTGCTTCCCACAGTGTGCTGGAATGGTTATCACAAGAAGACTGTGCTATCTGCTCGTAATTCCAGAATGGTGTGCAGCCCAGTCACAGTGAGGATTGCACCTCCTGATAGCAGATTGACTCGTCCTCTACTGTAAGTATTATTGTTGGAAGAATAAACTCCTGTTTGTATCCATTTTATTTTTCAAGAGTTGTTCCTTTGACAAAACACCTATACAGCAAAAAAAAAATAAAGCACCTCATTATTTGAATGAGAAATCCCATATTCTAGTCATTGAATCATCTTTTATTTTTTGGGTTTTTTGCCTAAGTATAGCTTTAATTGCTAAGGGCAGTTTCCTTGAGTGTGCAAGTTATACTTTTATTTGTTGGTTAACTTCTGATTCCCAGTGACTGAAGTCTGTACTGTATATGGCTTGGTAATTAAATATCTTAATACTAGAATCTTGTCTTTCCCTGCAGACCAGAGCAGATAATCAATTCACCACTGTCCTCACCGTCAAGTAACACCCCTGATCCATGTGCAAAAGAGACTGTACTGAGTGCTCTCAAAGAAAGGAAGAAAAGGACCGTGGAGGAAGAGGACCAAATATTTGATGATGGCCAGGAAAATAAAAGAAGGTAATGGGTCCAGCAGAGTTCTGAGATTTATTGAAATCTAGATCACGCCCCAAAAGATACAGATGCCAACTCCAGTTTATGAGCCTTAGTAGGTCCCTTTCTTTAGCTTTCATGGAAGAACTTGGTAACGAGGACTTTAGTGCTGTTCATTTCCTAAGGCACAGGTTTGATAAATTTAGTCATTTTAATTTTTCCCTAGGTAGAAATAGAGTAGCAAATATTAGCCATTGTTATTAACCTTTTTCGTTTTGATACAAATATGTTCAGTTTTATTTTTTGAGAGAGAATGCTCAGAGTCTTCCCCTCACAATGTTGTGTAGTTATTTGGATAACCATCAGTTGAAATGTTATAAGTGTGTTGAAGGAAATGCTTGGCAAAGAATGGTGAAGACTAGAGTATGATAGATTTATCAATAAAGGGATGAAGGGTCTCCCTGGTGGTGCAAGGGGTTAAGCACCGCACTATGAAGCATTCTGCAGCCTCGGTAGCACGAGTTTGATCCCCAGCAGGCCAGAGAACAACCCACATGGCGAAGCAGACCTCCCCTGTCTTGCCCGCTGCTCTCCTCAGCAGTATATTTCAGTCATTCTGCCTGTTCTGTTCCCCACTCTGTTTCTGGTGAATCCTCTCACCTCCTGCATCTCTGGCCTGTACCCCAACTCTTGTTTGCATAAATAAATAAATCTGTTTTAAAAAAGGATTAAGAACAATTTCACTATTTGTTTTTCAATAACAGTGAAAATGGAATAAACTGTTTCCTTAGTTTGGAAAGATAGGAGATTAAAGTCACTGGTTAGGATGCTGAACTGATTGTGACTTTGCAAGGAACCAGTTAAGGATTCCACTTATTTTTTAATTCAACATTGAGCACTCAACTATGTTCCAAAACTTAATTGCAGCTGGTAAGAATGGTGAACAAGACAAAGCTCTTAAGGAACTTGTTTGAGGGAGAGTGACCAAAAAGAAAAAAAAGAATAATAAAGTAAGCAAGGTAACTATACCTTGTAAGTGTATAGAGATTTAAAAAACAGGGTGATAAAACATAATATAACAATATTATAACATAATAATGTTATAACAATATAACATAATTACATAATAAGTGGACTGCTTAATGAGACAGTGGACACCGTATTTGGAAAACAATCATTGTCATTATTACCTCGACCAGACTTGTTCATTTCCATCAGGTTCAGAGTTGACCATCTTTGACAGATGAGAAAATTAGAGAAATATCAGTAAATACAAGTACAATTATATGACAGAAATATCAGGTTATGATGACTACAGATTTGGATTTGCAAGTAAGCAATTTAAGCTAATGTCAGCCACCTAAGCAGGAGTAGCAGTGGGTGGGGGCTGTGGAAGTGGAGAGAGAATAACAGTTATTCTTATGGTCCAAAGAGGTTTCTCATGTGTTCCACAATGGTAATTTTTCTTGACCTTAGTGAGTCTAGCTTAGTGAGCCTGTATTCTCTTTTCCATAATTAGAATAAATGGTGATTATGGGCACCATACATGGACCACTCTTACTATGATCTGTAAAGTTTTTTTCTTAACAGACTTGGTATGTTAACCTCTGGAGCACTACAGATGTGTGGGCTGGTCCCTAAAATGTTTTGGTTTCTTTCCCCCACCCCAAGTTTTTGTTTTCTAATTTGTATGTGATGGAATGCTCTATTTATGGTTGTAATACTTTAGAATGAAATTAGCAATAATTGATATTCCTGAACAGGTTTTGAAATATTTTCATGCTTATTTCCAAGACAGTCTTAGAATACAGTTACATTTCACTATCTTTGCGATTTGACAAAACCTTTTATTTTCTCGCATTACTTATTTTCTATAGAAGTAGTATTAGGATCCAGAAATATGAGAATGTTTTAATTGTAAAACAAGTCATTTTATTTCATTGAGGAATTTTTTTGATTTGTCACAGGCGCCATGATAGCAGTGGGAGTGGACATTCAGCATTTGAGCCCCTGGTGGCCAATGGAGTCCCTGCCTCTTTTGTGCCTAAGTAAGTGAAACTCCATCTAGATAAGATATAGACTGTTTGGGAAAAGGCCTTTATGTGAATTGTTGTCCTTAGATTTTCCTCTTGCTTTTTGTATTGTTTTAATAGTTCAGATTTAAATCTTTGAAGTCAGGAAGGTACATTTTGAGTAACTTGCCATAATGACTATGTTCTGTCTGATTCCTTGTATTTTTTCATTAATATAAGTAAAACATGGTAGTGTTCAGAGGGTTTGTAAGTACTGTTTGATAACCAATTATATGAATGGAAAGATAAAGGTTGTGTAATGGATAATATGCAACAATGTGAACTTTAAATAAATTTCTGCATTTGAATTTAAATACATTTGAGGAAGAATTAGATAGAAAGTGGCTCAGATATATTTGAAAGATACAGGGTGACTGAAGTGTTTAAGTCAGTAGTATGATGTGACTGCCAAAAAATTAATGTGCTCCTAGTTTGTATTGAGAGCGAACAAAGACTGGGATGTGGCAGGTTGGTAGTAGTCCTTCCCTTAGTTCTGCTCAGACTGTCCATGGAGTGGATTCCACTGCTCTATAAGAAAAGATACAAAGTGAAATTTATTTGGAGTGAAGGAACTAAGATGTTTAGGGGTGGCTGGGGGTGGTGAATGTTGGTAGATGCAAGATAGTTGAAGGTCTAAAAGTATAACCCCATAGAGAAAAAAATCTCAAGGGAATAAGGAAATGAGGGAGGAAAGGATAAAGGTTTCAAAAGAATTGAAGGACTGTCACATGAAAGAGGGAAAACAACTTGGTCAATTTGACTACAAATAGGGTTCATGGGTGAAAGGTGAAGGAAATCCATGTCATCCAGAATAAGAATAAACTGGCCCATGACTGATGTCCAACACTTTAGGAGATAGTTGTCTACATTGTAATACATGACTATTCTTCAGAAAAGATAGGGTAGGAAGTTTCTGTTTCAATTGGAGACTTAGAAGAAATGCTTGGTTCTTCTGATTTTTTTAAAGCGTCTTTATTCAGCTATAATTGACATAAAATAAATTGTGGCTGTTTAATTGTACAATTTGATAAATTTTAACGTGTACACCTGTGAAAACATTACCACAGTCAGTATAATTAACATACCCATTGCCACCGAAGGTTTCCCCATGTTCCTTATTAGTAATGCCTCCTCCCATCCCCAAGGAAGCTACTGATTTGCTTTCTGTCAATTTCTAGAATATTATGAAATAGAATCATTTGTTTGATATTTAAATACTTGTTTTCTCATCCTGGCTTTGTCAGATATAATTTGCTGAATTGTTAGTTCAAATTTAGAATATTATCCTTTCAAATTTATTTAAGAAAGATGCCGTGACCAGGGAGGAAACCTTAAAAGAATCTTGCCTTCTACGGCATATCTCTTTTCTTTTTCCTGTTTGTTAGGCCTGGCTCTCTGAAGAGAGGCCTCAATTCTCAGAGCTCAGATGACCACTTGAATAAGAGATCCCGCACCTCTTCTCTGAGTTCCTTGACGAGCACTTATACAGGCGGTATCCCAAGCTCCAGCCGCAATGCCATTACCAGCTCTTACAGCTCCACTCGAGGTTTCTCTCAGGTACATTCATCTTGTGGTATGGGAGGTGGTATGGGAGAAACGAGTTCCTAACATTGATTGATTAGCCAGTGTTTCAATGACCACCTTTTATCTGTCAGATACTGAAATTATCTCTCAACTAGCAGAAAAGGTATAGACTCTTTCGTATGTATGTATGTATGTATATAGACCAATGGCATAGACTGGAAAACCCAGAAAGTGGGTTTTAGAAAGGTCTAGACTCTTTCGTATGTATGTATGTATGTATGTATGTATGTATGTATGTATGTATGTATATAGACCAATGGCATAGACTGGAAAACCCAGAAAGTGACCTAGTGCATAAGTGCTAATCTAAGACAGAAAAAAGAACGATTCAGTAAGTGGCATTAATTTGATTGAAAAAGTAAAATGAGTCTGGATTGCTTTGGGTCATAAATGAAATTCTGTCTATAGGTATTGAGAATTTAGTGGAAGCTTTTTAAACAAGAAGTGTTTATTTATCCAGACACATGCAGGTCCAAATCTTGACTCTCACACTTAGTAACTGTAGGCCTGTGCACAGATAAGTCAAACTCTTTTTCTCATCTCTAAACTGTTTTTCTCATCTCATCTCTTATCTCTTCAGTCTGTAAAGACTGAAGGAAATGGTTGAAAAGTTCCCATTGCGGTACCTTTAGGTACTTGATATACATACAATAGGTGGAAAAAACATGAAGCTTGTGTGGAGGAAGGTTTGTTTTTTTTTTGTTTTGTTTTGTTTTTTTTAAGATTTATTTATTTTATGCATACAAGAGCTGGCTACAGGCCAGAGATGCAGGGGGTGAGAGGATTCACCAGAGACAGAATGGGGAACAGAACAGGCAGACTGATCGAAATACATTGCTGAGGGGAGCAGCAGGCAAGAAGGAGAGGTCTGCTGTGCCATGTGGGTTTCTCTCTGGCCGGCCTGGGATCGAACTCATGTTGCAGAGGCTGTGACTTGCTTCATAGTGCGGTGCCTAACCCCTTGCATCACCAGGAAGGCCCTGGAGGAAGATTTTTGATGGGGAGTACACTTGAGACAAGACACCCTATCCGAAGACTTACAGAATGTAAATGAAAGATGACCTAAGTCAGTGCAATTATGGGAATAAAGATAATAATCTTAGAGCACTTATTCTATGCTAGGTCCTCCGATAAGCACCTTACAAGCATTTCCTCGTTCAACATCACAACAATTAAATACTTTTTTCTATTTTTTAAAAAAATTTATTTATTTATGCATATAAGAACTTGTACACCAAAGGTGCAGAAGGTGAGAGGATTCACCAGAGACAGAGTAGGGAGCAGAACAGGCAGATTGAGTGAAGTACGCTGCTGAGGGGAGCAGCAGGTGAGACAGGAGAGGTCTGCTGTACCATGTGGGTCAGCTCCCTGGCTGGGATCAAACTTATGCCACAGTGGCTAATGATAGCTTTATAGCACTGAGACTTAACCCCTACCTGACCAGGGAGGCTCCTGTTTTCTCTGTTTTTATGATTTTATTTGGTCAGATTTTACATGTACCCAAAAAGGAGAGAAAATACAGTGAAATTGCACATAACTTAGTAGTTTAGAGCATTTTGTCAGTTGTGTTAAATCAATTCTCTAATTTTGCTCTTGTGTTTTAAAGCAAATTGGAAACAGGTAATTCAGTGTATTTTCAACTTTTTTTTTTTAAGATTTATTTATTTATTTATACAAGAACTGGGGTACAGGCCAGATACACAGAAGGGTGAGAGAATTCACCAGAGACAGCGGGGAACAGAACAGGCAGACTGACGAAATACACTGCTGAGGCGGGCAGCGGGCGAGACAGGAGAGGTGTGTTGCGCCATATGAGACCCTTGCCGGCTGGCCAGCGGACAGCTTCACAGCACGGCGCTTAACTGCCTGCGCCACCAGGGGAGGCCCTATTTTCAACTTTTTTAATAATTCTTTAAAATTGTTTTAATATCACTCTGTATTCTAATTATCCTTAATATCCAGATTATCTTATTACATTTAACTTTGAATCAGGAACCTAAATAAATTTATTATATATGGTTGCTATGTTTCTTAGGCTCTTCTTGTATTTCTATTTTTTTCATGCCTTTGAAAAACTGGATCATTCACTCTGTGAAATGTCCCACATCCTGGTGTTATTTTAACATGTATCTATCCCATTTTCCCTGTTAATGGGTAATTGGATCCTGTGGCTCAGTTACATTCAAGTTCAGTTATTTTGGCAAAATACTTAATTGGTGATATTTTGGTGATGGTGATGTTGGCTTACATCAGGAGCACAAGATGCATGGTGGCTCCCTTTGTGATGTTAGTATTAATCACTGGGTTCAGGTGTTGTCAGTCTAATCCTTTTGTTTTAATTATCCTGTGAACTTTTCATCTGATGATTTTAGTTGCCAGTTACCATCTTTGCCTAGATCCTTCGTTTTATTAAGTTGCAAATACTCTTGCTCACTTTGCATTTATTAACTGGAATTCTGTGTCGACGGAGCATGCCCTGCCTGTAGGGATGACAGGATAGGAAGGCATTAATACCATAGCCAGCTCCAGAGTCACCAGATTTTGTTGGTATATATTATCTTCGTGAGTGTCTGAATTTTTGTAGTAGTTATTCTTTTTCATGTGCAAAGATGTTCAACTTTTGCCAGTTGGGATCCCTTTTTAATTGGCGCTTTCATCCTTTTGTTTTCACCCCAGTAATCTTTATAGTTTCATTGCATTTAGACAAAAAAAAAATTCATCTTGTATATCTCCCATCCAGACTGAAGTTGACTATTTCTTCCAGTAGCCTTAGTTATTATTCAGATATTTAGAGGCTGAAATTCTAGGAGAATTAAGATATACATATTCTGTAGAAAGAGGAATCTCAATTATTAATTCACATTGCCATTTCAAATTCAGATTTTGGATTACAGAATTTTATACATAATTTCTTTGATCTTTTATTTTTATGTATTCTTACACCAAAAAGTGATGTTTCATAATTACTTAGTTGATTCTTCCTCGTACACACAATTTCAAAATCAGTGTCCTTAACAGTAAGACTCTGAAATCAGTTTAAGAATTATTTGGATTCATTTTGTCATTAGTATAGACCCTCTATGAATACTAAGAATGTACAATGAAAAAAAAAAAATATATATATATATAAAAGATTTATTTATTTATTTATTTATTTAAGAACCAGGGTACCGGCCAGATGTGTGGGAGGGTGAGAGGATTCACTAGAGACAGAGCAGGGAACAAAACAGGCAGACTGACGAAATACACCACTGAGGGGAAGAGTGGGCGAGGCAGGAGAGGTCTGCCGCGCCATGTGGGATGCTCCCTGGCCAGCCAGGAATCGAACCCATGCTGCAGAGGTTGCAGACAGCTTCACAGCGCTGTGCTCAACCCACTGTGCCACTGGGGAGGCCCCAAAAATTTAATTTATCCCAAAGAACATATAATAGAACAAGGTACATTGAAAAATGTTATATTTCCATTTTTTTCCATTCTACATTGTTTGTCCCCTTCTCCATTTTTATTTCTTTTTAATACTTCATTTTTTAAAAAACTGTGAGACAATGTCTCTATAAACCACCACCCCCATCACCACCCTCTAACGCTTAATGTGTATATATACAAGTTTATATATATAAAGTATAAAAACTTGGCTTTTTTATACTTACTATATACTAGAGGTCTATAGCAGTATATAGCAATGTATCTTTCTTTTTTTCAGCTAAATAGTGACTTTCATCCTCCGTTGGTAAACATTGGTTTGTTTCAGTCTTCTGCTATTACAAATAATGCTGCTATTCACATAGTTCATACATCATGTCATTCCTTGGCCTTTATATTTCTGAGATAGATTCCTGGAAAACAGATTCCTAGGCCAAAGGTTCAGTGTATCTGTGATTTTGCTAGCTATTGTTAAATTCCCCTCCTTAGAGCATAAGCCATTTAGTATTCCCAGCAGCACTGTAGAAGAGTGATCATTTCTTCACAGCCTCACCAGCAGATTAGGTTGTCCAGCTTTAGATTTTTACCATTGACAAGTGAGGAATAGTATCTCATGTCTCTATAAGTGAGTTTGAGCAGCCTTACGTTTATTAGAGAAACATTCCAAATGAACTAAAGATTTAAATGTATAAAATAGAAAGCACCCTCCAAATTCAAGAAAAAAGACCGCTCATGCATTGCTGGTGGCTGTCTCATTTGCTGAGGTTCCTTATAGAGGACATCGTGGCAGGAATTACCCACGTTAGAGAGGCACTTGCCCTTTGACCCAGCCGGTTTAGGAATTAATCTTATACCTATGCACAGAGCTGACTGTAATATTTTAATGCAGAAATTTGGAAACAGTGTAAATGTACCTTTTTAGAGGGCTGGGTGAATAACTTATAATATTTCCATAAGTTGAAATACTTCGTAACTATTAAAAGGAATGGGATGGCTTAATAGGTACTGAAGCGAATGATCTCAAAAATATATTTAAAAAAGCCACGTGCAGGACTGTGTGAATAATGTCTTCTATTATTTATGCTGCTGGTTTCTTTAATCTTCTAATGTACATGGAGTTCTGACAAGATATATTAGAAACTGGTGATAACTCTTGAAATAGTCTGGGAACTTTTTATTGTATACTTGCAGGAGTTTGTAATATGCAAATATTACTTTCTGATTTTGGGGTTTTTTTTTTTTTTAAGAATAGATAACTATTAAGTCTAAGTAAAAGTTCCCTGTCTTGATTATCCCAGGCTCACTCCCATAAGAACCTATTAATATTACCACTGTGAGTGCAAACACATATAATCCTTTTTGGACTTTTTTGCATCTTCTTTTGTCATATATTTTGCATAGCATTCCATGTCATCTATATTTTTTAATAACTTTTAAAAAAAAATAGAGTATATGGTGCAGAAAAACAAATACTGTAATTGTGCTGCTCCGTGTAATCACCACCCAAGTCAAATTATAAATAATTTTCAACACCCAGTATCCCCTATACCCATTCCCTGACGACTTCTTCCCTCCCTCTTTCCTTCCCTCCCTTTCTTCCTGAATAGTAGCACCATGTATGGTTTTCCAACTTTATATAAATGGAAGCATAAATAGGCTTTTGTTTGTGTTTGGCTTTCATTCAACATAGTACTTGTGTGATTCATCCATATTGTTGCATGTGGGAATGTCTTTCATTTTCACCTCTGCATACTATTCTACTCTGCGAGTATAATGAAATTATATCTATCCATTCTACCACTGGACATTAAGTTTCCAGTTTGGTGCTGTCAAGCACAGTGCTGCCGCCGATATGCTTGTGTACGTCTTTTGGTACACATAAATAAAGTGTGTTTATGTTCAGTTTTAGATGTTAAGCAGATTTTTTAAGTGTTTCCATTGGTACACCTTGGAAACTCAGCACGGTATGAGAATTTGTTCCTGTGGTTACACATATTCTCACTAACACTTGGTGCCAGTATCTTTACCCATTCCAGGGGGTCTGAGATAGCATTTATTGTGGTTTTAATTTGCTTTGTTTTAATTTGTTTCCCTCTTTACTAATGAGATTGAAATATGAACTGTCGTTTGACCATTTGTATATTCTCTTTTATCAAGTGCTTTTTCAAGTTCTTGGCCCTTTCCTATTAGGTTGTCTTTCTTATAATTTATATAAGGTCTTTTTATGCAAGCCCTCTGCAGAGCTCATGTGTTGCAACAAGTGTTTTCTATGCTGTGGCTTGCCTTTTTCACTCTCTTACAATCTTTTCACTATGGCTACTGTAGTTTGTATACTGTTTGGGATATCTCTGCCTACCTAAGGTCGTGATGATGCTCTCTTATGCTGCCTTCTAGAAGCTTTTGTATTTTACCTTTTATATTTAGATCTTTAATCCAGCTGAAATTGATTTTTGGGTATGGTATGAGGTAGGGATCAATTAGTGTTTTTCTTTTAAAATATTTACTTGTCTCAGAACATTTATTGGCGGGACCATTGTTTCCTTGTTGCTCTGTGGCAGCCTTTGTCATCCTTTACGTGTTCTTATATACGGGGGTCCCTTTCTAGGTTCTGTTGTGTTCCATTGGAGAGCTTGTCTACCCCTGTGCCACTCAGTCTTTTAAGTCTTGATTATCTACTGAAATAAGACATTTGACTTTCTCATTTCTTTCATTCCTCTTCAGAATTATCTTGGATCTTGGCCTTTTTTGCATTTCTAAAAGAAATTTTATTATGAAGTGCTCAGTTGTGGTTTAGCTTTCTTGGAGTTCATTGTATAGCTTGATGACTTTCCTTAGCTATTATCTCTTCAGACATTTCCTTCCCTTTTCATCGCCTCTCCATAGTACTCCAGACATGTTAGGCCTGTTCATTGTGTTCCATGTTAGGTCTTTTCCTCTGTGTTTCCCATCATTTTGCTTCCCCCATCTTAATTACTGTTTTCTAATTTACTAATTTTCTTTAACTTTGTGGAATTTATTTAAATAACCCACCCATTGCATCCTAAATTTTAGTTATTGTGTTATTTTTCATAGTTAACAATGGTCTGCCAAGAGTCTCTGAGTTTTCATTTACATTCTTGTAATAAACAGTTACTTTTAAGTCTTATTTAATAACGCCAATAATTGAATCTTGTGTTTCTTATGTCTGCTTTTTTTCCCCTCTTGGTTATTGGTTAAATATTATCTTCTAATGAACTTGCTTTTTTTGTTTCCCTGTCAGGTATTGGGGGTTGGGAGTGTGTAATGATGGCTTGAAGCTCTGAATCATGGTATCTTTCTCCAGAGAGATTTTAATTTGCTCCTCTTAAGCAGCTAGGAGAGGGGCAGATTACTTCTGTCCAATTGGAATAGACTTGATTCTGGATTGGTTGTCAGTTCTTGTGAGGGTGGTTTTACTTCTGATTTGCCCTATTCCCTAGCACGTAGCTTTAGAGACTCCAGCCAAACTCCTGAGATGTTTGTGGGGCCCCTCTGCTTTGGAAAACCTTGAATTCCACTTTTTGTCTTCCAACCCTGCCTACCAAATCTATCAAACCCTAAACCTTTTCTCAGCTTTTCAGTTGCAGCTTTAATTTTTTAAATTGACAGTCACTGCGAAGGAAGTAGTAGGTCTGTGTGTGGCTCCTCTTCTCTCTCCCGTCTGCACCATGTCTCACTGATGGATCTTCTGTACCACTGTATCTTCTGAACCTTGAAACAAATGTATTTCTTATTTTTTTAAAGATTTTATTTATTTGTGCATACAAGAGCTGGGGTGTAGGCCATAGGTGCTAGGGGGTGGGGGACGCAGTGAGAGGATTCACCAGAGACAGAATGGGAAGCAAAACAGGCAGATTGACTGAAATACGCTACTGAGGGGAGCAGCTGGCGAGACAGGAGAGGTCTGCTGCGTCACATGGGTCAGCTCCCTGGCCGGGGATCGAACCTGTGCTACAGTGGCTGCCGATAGCTTCATAGTGCTGAGACTTAACCCCTTGTGCCACCAGGGTGGCCCTGTATTTCTTGTCCTATCTCTTTTCCAGATTGTAAATTTTTCATGAGAACAGTCTTGTACTTGTATTCCTAAGAAGGTATAAAGGAGTAGTACCTTTTTGAAATAGGACATCATCAAATAAAACCTGAATTACAGAGCAGAACTAAATTGACTGCCAGATTTCTTTTTATGACTTGCCTTGTTATTCCTTTGCCCAATTATTATTTGATACATTCATTATATTTATATGGAATTGCAAGACTTACATATTAAGAAATTAACTCATCAGATTAATTGAAACTGTCTTAAATTTTGTTTATAATTTTTGGTTTGGGGTGTTTTTGTTTCCTACCCACATCAGTTTTATTTCCATTTTATGTAAACATTACGATGAGTGAAATTCAAATGGTACAAAGGGTGTGCAATAAAGTCTTTTACATGCCAGTATTTTTATAGAGACAAGTTCTTAATTTTTATGTAACAGTTTTCTTTCTGTCAGTTTTCTTTCCTTTGTTTCTGGCATAAAATGTCTTCTTATCCCAGCTTATTTAGAAACTCTTACAGTTCTTTTGTCTGTTATATTTCATATATGTAAATATTACTTCTGCATTGTATGTCTATGTAGTATATGATGTGAAGATAAAACATTGTTCCCCCAATTGTTAAAACCTACTTGTCTTCAACCTTTTGGTACTTTGTTGAAAACACACACACACACCACACCACACCACACCCGCCGCCACCCCAAGGTATTAAGTCTCAAGTTTGCTTGTTTTTCTTTTTCAAATGACTGTCCTTTCTTGTTCTTTGCCTAAGCATACCATAAAAATCTTATGTATTTGAGCATTTTTCTCAAGCTCATTTTCAGACTTGGGTTTTTGGATGTTAGTGAATGGACTATTCCCCTGTTTTACAACCTTTTATTTTAAATCTCTTGTTTTGAACTACTGTAATATGTGTTTTGTTTACTTGATGTATATTTGTGTTTATATGTTAACAATTCTTAGCTAGAAATCACTAGAAACTGCACAGCAGGAAAATTGTAGTATAATTCAGTATACTAGTAATTAGACTAAAGACTTGTGAAATTATTTGCATAGTACTTACTCTTTGTCAGTTACTTTGTTGCTAGGCCACTTTGAAGGATGCAAAGATGAAAACAAAAGATCACTTTATCAAGACTCCAACTTGTAGAAGAGACAGACTTATAATTATTACATAATGATAAATAACATGTTGCAAAAATCATAAATGTTATGTCAGAATAACATTCACTGTTGTACTGTTATGTCATACAGTAAAACTGAGAATTGGGCCTCCCTGGTGGCGCAGGAGTTAAAGTCAGTGTTACAAGCTATCAGGAGCCACTACAGCATGAATTCGATCCCTGACCAGGGAGCTGACCCACATGGTGCAGCAGACCTCTCCTGTCTGGCTCACTGCTCCCTGCAGCAGTGTATTTCCGTCAATCTACCTGTTCTGTTCCCCACTCTGTCTCTGGTGAATCCTCTCACCTCTGGCCTACACCACAGTTCTTGTAGGCATAAATAAAAATGAAAAATAAAAAAAAGTAAAACTAAGAATTTAATGAAAGCAAGACTAAAATTAGTTTGCTGAGTTTTTATTATTATCACTTCCATAGACAATATAGACTTGTATGCATCATAGATCTTCCGAAAGTACATTCATTCCTTCTACATTATTACTTAGCATTTCATTACTTTTTTCTCCCCATAGTTAATATTGACAGTTGGCTTTCTTATTACAAGTCTTTCTTCACAGAGAAGTATTTTTTAGTCACTTCAAAAGAGACTTTGCAGGGCCTCCCCGGTGGCACAGTGGTTGAGCGCTGGGTTGCTAAGCTGCCCGCAGCCTCTGCAGTGCCAGTTCAATTCCCGGCTGCTCCCCGGCCACCAGAGGAGGGTCCCACATGGCGCGCAGACCTCTCCTGCCGCCCGCTGCTCCCCTCAACAGTGTACTTCGGTCCTTCTGCTTGCTTTGCTCCCTGCTCTGGCTCTGGTGAATTCTCTCACCCTCCCGCGCTTCTGATTGTACCCAGTGCTTGTTTGTATGTATATATGTATGTATGTATGTATGTATGTATAAATAAATTAATAACTAAATCATTAAAAAAAAAGAATGCAGGCCCTGCTCTGCTCCCCACTCTGTCTCTGGTGAATCACCCCCTGCACCTCTGGCCTACACCCCAGCTCTTCTATGCAAAAATAAATAAATAAAACTCTTTAAAAAAAAAAGAGGGACTTTGCATGCATTGATGACAAGAAACATAAAATCACATTGAAGGTCAGATGCTAAATTATCAACCAGAGTCAATCATGTTGCTTTTTGTTTGACTTAAGCATTGGAAGAGGAGTGGTCTCAGTTCATCACCCTTCTCTAGCCCAGCTTCATCCCGCTCCCAGACACCAGAGAGACCAGCAAAGAAAATAAGGTAATCATTTATTATTTGTTGTGGACTAAGGAGAGGTTAAAAAGGCAGGGAAATCTACTTGGCTCTAGGTTTTCTGCAACTCTGACTAAAGAATCCAAGAGATTAACATCTAGAAAGAGTGAAATGCCCCCTGCACTGCTCTCACCTCATACAGCTCCTGTGTGCTGACTCTTCCTCAGACTGCAGTGTAAGTGGAGGCCGCATAGACTAGACAGGGCAGTCATGTTCTGGACTACCCCTGTTGTTCTATGTACCTATGGTTGATTCGAACATCACTCTCTTAGGAACCAAGTCTGCATTTAGAACTCTAAGGAACTTGGCAGGTTGTAAGCAAGGTCTTAACGATTATTGTTTTTGGACAGTGTTTAAAACAGTGGCTTCCATGAACTGTCTTCCTTTGTTGCTATAGGACTTTTCTTTTGACTTTATGATTTTTTTGTCCTGATAAAAAATACATAATGATAAATACTGAGATTTTTAAATCACAGTTCTGTGAACTGCTTTATTACCAGTTGATCTTTAGAAGGGTATAAGAGTTCCAGTGTTTCTCATAAACTTAATTCTGCCTTTTCCTCCTATAGAGAAGAGGAGCTTTCTCACCCTTCTAGTTCTTCAACTCCATTGGTAACAGAGAAGGAATCCCAGGGAGAAAAAGGTAAGTTGATGAATGAGCAAGAGTGACTTGGAGTAGAAGTGTTTGTGGAGGATGTATAGATTACTCTCTCTTTGAAAACACACATTGAGCTATATGTAGGAAGTAGTAGATACAGAGATAGAATTTACTTCTTCAGAGATTGATAGTCTAACAAGGGAGAAAGGTGATACAGACAAATGCAATATAACTCATGGTAACTGTAGGACAGGGATAAAACTGAGGTTACGGCCTCTGAGCAATCCAGGTAATTGCTATCCATTCAGCAGCTGTATACATGCATTTGGAACAATTCTCTCTATATCCTTTTTTCAATTGGAAGTCATCTCAGAAACACCACCCAAGGACCCAAACCATGGAAGATAGAATCTCTTAGGGACACCTAGGGAAAATTGCATGTTAATAACAAGATAGATTTTCCTTTATCCATTTCTAGAGGAGGGGAAGAAGGAAACAAGGGTCTCTTTCTTTAGTTTCAGATACAACGACATGGAAGAAACAGAACTCATGGAATTCCCCATCTACACCTGGTAGCTCTGGGCAACGCAAAAGGAAGATCCAGCTGCTGCCCTCCAGGCGAGGAGACCAGCTGACCTTGGTATGACCTATAGTCTATCCATCCTGCTCACCCCATCTTAGCTGTCCTGTCTTAGAAAGACTAAATACAGATTTCTTCTGATTGACCTGCTTTCTTTTTCTCTTGGGTAGCCTCCACCCCCCCAGCTTGGTTATTCGATCACTGCTGAAGACCTAGACTTGGAAAAGAAAGCTTCGTTGCAATGGTTTAACAAAGTCTTGGAGGAGAAAACTGGTAAGAAATAGAAATTATTTTCACACTCCAGAGAAGAGGGTATGTGTTCTTTGGATTCCTCTTTCTCATTTGAGAATTCCACCAGGGTCTTCAGTAGAATCTGGGGAACGGTGAGCATTGAGATTGAGGTGAAGCACTTCTGAGTTACACTGAGACCCTGAGCATCCTGTGCTCCAGGATATACCATCTGGAAAGAATTCGTAAACAAGAAAGGACAATTCAGCCATTTCTTTCTTCCTTAGATGCTGCCTCAAGCACTGTCACTGAGAACCCACCTACCACCCAGCCTTTTACTTTTACTCTGTCTCCTGTTGGGACTGCTTCCTCCCCAGCCACCCTCCCAGCCCCAAGCACTAACCCACTGTTGGAGAGCTTGAAGAAGATGCACAATTCCCCAAGCCTCCCATCCTTCCCAGGTGAGTGGGAGAGCTTTCTTTGGAGCACATAATGACATCAGCCTTTGTCCAGGTTGAATTAAAAGCATCATTGGCTTCTATCTGATAGAACTTGATGGAAAAGTTCACCCTGCTCTGGCTTACCAGACCTGAACTGCTGCGAGCTTAAGAGCATCAGAATTCTCTAATCAGGAAAGTTTGGGGAAAGAGCATGGACAGCTAGGGAAGGCAGCTTAGTTATGGGAGACAGATGGCTCTTGATTTGAAATCCAGTTCCTTAGCTGCTCTGAACCTTCCTGTCAACATCTATGAATTGAGACTAATGCTTGCTTCATGTGGTATCTCTGAAGTGTAAATGTGGTTACTTGGTTAAGATGTCTTGTCACTCCTATATTAGTGTCAGCACAAAGTAATATGAATTATTTTTCCTTGTACGTTTCCAAAGGTCTGTTGAAGACCTAGAAGACCTGTCCCACTCCCACGCCTTCACAACACTGCATGTGTGCACACCCTGTGGCCCTTTATCATGCATAGCAGCATGTGCTAGGTGTCAGCCTCTCCCAGGGCTCAAGGGCAAGGCTGTCATTCATGTTATCATATGTTCTGCACTTTACATGTGGTAACAGATATATCTTTCTTGGAAGAATAAGGTACATCTAGGCAACTAACTAGATTTGAACTCAGATAATGGGTTGTTCTTAGTTTCCACAAATTAATCCTCATGTTTAGACCAAGCTTTATCTGCTTCTCTATTTCTTAAGATCTGTGCACAACAGAAGTTAACAGACACTTCCCTAATTTAAGGAATGAACACTTTAAAGGTCTGTGGTACAGATTGAGTTGTATTTGTGGACTGGCTCTTGACGCCCTAGCACTCACTGTGCTAGGCACAGGGAAGAAACTGAAACATTGACTACCCTCTTGTTCGAGGTTTTCCGCATTCACTTTCTCTCTTCTTTGCAGAATCTGCTGGAGCAGCAACCACCACCGAGACCCATTCACCTCCTAAGACTTCTGGCCTCCCAGTGCCTCTTGGCTCTTCACAGTCAGGGCCCCTTCCAAGCACCTCCTCAGACTCCAAGTCTACAGTCACTTTCTTGGGACTCACCCCTGCATCTTCCACAATACCAGTCACTGACACCACCAAGTCACCTCTGGTCCCTCAGGCTGAGATACCTGCCAAATCCCAAACCCCAGCTGCGCCATCCCCCACCCCCAAGCCAAGTATTCTGTTTGGAATGCTGAGTACCCCACCTTCCAACCCTCCTGCCTCTGCAGCTCCTGATGTATCTTCAGCATCTCCCATGTTCAAGCCCATTTTTGAGACTCCCCCTAAAAGTGAGAATGAAGGCCCCTTGCCATCTAGCCCTTCCAAGGTCACAGCTGCAGCATCTTCCAACTCTGCCCTCCCCATGACTCCCAGCACCTCACCCCTCACTTTCAAGCCCATCTTTGACAGCATGGGGCCACCTACATCTGTGCCCTTGTCAACTCCCTTCTTCAGTCAAACAACTACTCCAGCCACTACCACAAGCGCCCCTCTCTTTTCTGGCCAAGCCAGTGCCACCTCTACAGTGGCTTCCATGACCACAGCCAGCACAGCTGCAGACTCTGCTCCAAAGCCTGTGTTTGGCTTTAGCGTGAGCACCGTGACAAACACCATGAGCAGTGCAACCAGCACCACTACTTCCACTTCCCAGCCTTTCCTCTTTGGGACTCCCCCCGTCTCTGGTGCCAGCTTTACCCCCGCCCTAAGCTCCATATTCCAGTTCGGCAAGCCGCCTGCCATACCTGCTTCCACAACAGTTACCACCTTCGGTCAGTCCCTTCCCAATGCCGTTCAGACAGCCACCAGCAGCAGCACTGCAGGCTTCAGTGGCTTTGGCAGCACCCTGACCACCTCAGCCCCTGTCACCACTAGCCAGCCTACACTGACATTCAGTAGCACCACCACCCCTGCATTCAACATTCCCTTTGGCTCCAGCACTAAGCCCTCCCTCCCATCATATTCGGGAGCCAGCCCCCAGCCCACATTTGGGGCCACTGATGGGCAGCAGCAGCAGGGGGCAGCCAAGCCAGCCCTGGCCCCAAGTTTTGGCAGCTCTTTTGCTTTTGGAAACTCTGCAGCCCCGGCCCCAAGTGCCGCTCCAGCCCCAGCCCCAGCCCAGCCCACCTTTGGCAGCACTACGCAGTCAGCTTTTGGTGGTTTGAAACCCACAGCCTCTGCCTTCGGTACCTCTGCCAACACCCAGCCTGCCTTTGGCAGCACTACAGCTGTTTTCTCCTTTGGTGCAGCCACCACCTCTGGCTTTGGAGCTACAACCCAAACTACCAGCAGTGGGACCAGTACTAGCTCACTATTTGGTAGCACGACGCCATCACCCTTCACGTTTGGGGGCTCGACTGCCCCAGCTGCCGGCGGGGGTTTTGGGATCAATGTGGCTACCCCAGGCACCAGCTCCACCTCTGGGGCTTTCAGCTTTGGAACGGGACAGAGTGGGACCACTGGCAACGCCACCCCATTTGGGGGAGGCTTGAATCAGAGCACCTTGGGTGCCCCCAGCCAGAGCACACCCTTTACCTTCAATGTGGCCAGCACACCTGAGAGCAAACCTGTGTTTGGAGGTAAGAGTTGGCTGTGCCAGCCCTGCCCTAAGTGCTAGCAGTTTCCATGCGTAATGGCGCTTGTTTATGGTAGTGAAGAGAGACGGTAAATGTAGAAATAGGATGTTGTGGCAAATATCTTGATAAAACGTAATTAATGACTGTCAGGCGTTCGGGAATACCTTTCTGAGGGAAAACACTTGTAAGCCAAGACTGTATTTGTGAAATAAGGGGATCGGGAGTTGGTGGGGAAGTGCGAGAGCGTGGCAGGCCCAGTAGTCGAGCAGAGGTGTGAAGACTGAGGTAAGCTTGGTAGGTTTGTGAACAGAGAAAAGCGAGGTGTAACTAGAAGTTTAAACATGGGGGGAAAGATGTAAAGTGCAGTTGAGAGGTGGGCAGAGGCTGAAGATCATGGCCAGGCTTCAATGTTTGCAGGTTAAGTCTGAAGGGAAATCACTGCAGACTTTCCAGCGTAAGAATGAAACGATCTCATTTGCCACGTGGAAGAGGAGGTATAAGGAGTTTTGATCCTGGCAGCTTCTACTTTTCTCATGAAGTATGAGAGAGAGATTGGGAGATGGACTGAAGTGATACGCGTACAGGGTACCTCTGGAAACAGTTGTTTTGGGGGAGAGAGAAGGCGGTGTTAAGAATTGCTGGATGTTTTGAAGGCTGGAAAACTGTGATTGTGAATTTAAAGTGAGAGCAGTCAGCACTGTTGTGTGTTTCCCTGACAACACCGAGGTGTTATAATGTAGACCTAAGATACGTGGCCACCTGGTAAAAACTTGTCTAAACTTGAGCAAGTGCAGCAGGAGGGGCAGTGGACTGGCGGCCCCTGTGCAATTGAGGAGGTGGAGGAGCAGAACTAGAAACAGGAGCTGGAAGAAAGCACAGTTTGCTTGAATTTGGGAGCTCTAGCACTTCCTGGTGATGACGAGGTGTGACCAGAAGAGGGGGTGGAGAGGAGGGGTAGAGGAAAGGCTTTGGGGTGGCAAGGTCGGGCCTTAAGGAGCAGTAAAGACACTTGCCATACCTCAGGCGAGACAAGTGCGCGCGAGAGATCACAGCTTTCCTAGAGAGGGACTGTAGGGACAGCGCCAGTACTGGAGAGCGGGATTCACGGAGGGGCAAGGCAGTTCCAGTGGCCCCCACGGGAAGATTAGGGGACCTCACCGGGTGGAATGGAGTGGTGGGGTTCTGTGGAAGGCTTGGGTTTCTAGAGGGGATGAGACTGGTAAGCAGGCAGAGAGGCAGTGTTGTTATCTTGCTGGGAGAGGTAACCTGGCCAAGCTGTAAGGCAGGGTCCACCGAGTTTCCCCTCTGCTGGGATTTGGTGGCCAAGGAAATAGGGTGATCCTACTCCTTACGTGGACGAAAGACAGCAGGAAAGGGCTGTTTTCTGCTGCAGCACAGTGGGTGGCAGGCTGGGAGACAGGCAGGTGCCCCTGGAGCCTCAGGTGTTAGGCATGTGCTTCCTTATGGCGGGTCCTTCAGAAAAAAATGGTCCAGGGCTCAGGTATCATGTGGGGACACCTGATGCCTTCTGCTCTGATGCCCTCTGCTCTATTATAGGCACCTCCACACCCACCTTTGGTCAGAACAGCTCTGCCCCTGGGGTGGGCACATCAGGCGGCAACCTCTCCTTTGGGGCATCCTCAACACCCACCCAAGGTTTTGTTGGAGTTGGGCCTTTCGGTAAGCAGTATCCTTTTGTTGCTGGGGGGTGGCCGTTCATCACCGCTCTGAGGGGTTGGGGCGGGGGCAAGTTCCTGGCTCTCTGAGGCCCTCGGGGAAAGAGCAGGCTTACCGCATGAGAAAGATTCTGTTGAGCAGAGAGTGCTGAAGTCAGCACAGCCCAGGCTTGGAGTCAGATCAGAGGAGCCATCTCAGGTAGTCCCTAGGCCGCTAGGGAAGCCTTGGGGTTCTGTTGGCCTAACTTTCCAGAGATTAGGGCACCTACAGAAGTTACCAGGTAGCAGCTGCCTTGATGCAATCTTGTCTCTTTGCAGGATCAGCGACCCCTTCATTTTCCATTGGTGCAGGATCCAAGACCCCAGGGGCTCGACAGCGACTGCAGGCCCGAAGGCAGCACACTCGCAAGAAATAGCCTTTGTCCCCTACCCTCCCCCCCCGCCCCCCCCACCCAGATCTGGACCTCAGCACCTGCTAGGAAGAGCCTCTGACCTTTCTAGTTCCGTAAGGCCAACCTACCCCAGGCCGCTGGCTTCAGCCACCTGGGAGATGGTGGCAGCCATTGGGGCCTTTCCTGCCCCTCTAGGGAGAAGCCTCAAGGCCTCGTGAGGGGAGGGGGAGGCAGGACATGGCAGGGCCAGAGCCTGATACCTTACTTGAACAGTTCCATTGGTGAGGCTGGAGAAAACTAAAGAAACATCTGTACATAGCGTCCACTTACTCCCCTGACTCTTATTTAGCCTAAAAGCTTAGTCAGGTGGCCTCCCTCGCTGCCGCCTCCTCTCCTCCCTCCCCCTCGCTAGACAGTAGCAGGTACAGCCTTTGCTCACTTGAACCTCTGGTGTGCGCTCGATGGGTTTGGGGGGATAGATTAGCCCTAAAGCTTTACCTTGCTTCGCTTGGCTATAAAGTTCTCCCCTCTGGTCCCCTTAGAGGACTGTTTCCCCATATCTTGCTGCTTTGTCCCCTCACTGGTTCTGTAGGATTTACTCCTTTTCAACTGACCTTGAATCTAGCTTTGGCTTGGAGACCCCAGCGGGTGCTGCTCCTGCTGTCCCCTCCCTCCTGCCAAGTCTGAGTCAAAGTTTCGTCCCCAAGCCTCTGCCAGTTTGGCCCCCAAAAGCTTGGTGGCTCAAGACTGTTAGCCTGGCAGATCCTGGGGTGACACCTTGCTCCAGGAGAGGGAAGCTCATGGAGCAAGCAGGATGCCCGCTGCTGCTTTCAGCTGCCTCCTCGCCCACCTTCCTCACTGGGCTCGTCTGCCTCTCCGGGATTGTATGTTTAAAGCCTTGTCCTGTGTTACTCTGTCTGATGCTCATGTCTATTGCTCTTTGAATCGAGTTTGGAGGAAGAATTGAATTGTATGAGTGGCGGCATGTTGGTAGTGCCGGACTTAACTGTTTCAAGTTTCTGGGGCCCAGCTAATTGAACGTGGAAAGTAGCACCACTTCACGGCCACAAGGGCGGACTCCTGGATTTTCAAATGGTGTTTTGACTTTAAGGGCTGGCAGCCCAGGAGGACAGGGCTGAGGGGGGAGCAGAGACCTCGTTCCTCACCTAATTGGAGGCCAGATCACCCCTAGTATATATTAGAAAGTTATATATATAAGTTAATGAACCACACTTTAAAATTCTTAGTTATTCTGTTCCCGCCCCTTCCCTCCCGCCCCCCGCCCCCCACCCCGGCCTCCACCCTCCCCCTTTCCATCCTTTGTTCCAAAACCTCATGCCCAGGCCCAAGAGCCTTGCTGCCATGCCCATCCTCTTTGGGAGAAGTATGAATGCGTGTGTCTAAATTAAAAGAAAAAAATATTTAAACATTTTTTAACAAAATAAAAATTTATTTTTGTATTTAAGCTAAATTGCCTTTTAAATTCCTTCAAGCTTGGTTCATTGAGGTGGTTAAGTATAAATGCTATTGACTAGGAATTAGCTGTAGAGTTAAGTTATGCCTGTGTGAAGAGGAGGCTCAAATGCTGTCCCAGGCAGCTTTCCTGAGGGACTAGAGCTCCTTCTGGACACATTATATAAAATGTAATTCTTATTTTATAAATAATGTGATGTAGATGTAACTAGTCCCCTCCCCCTTTGTGACTGAGGTTGAATGTGTTGTGACCGGGGACTGCTCCTCCCCGTCCCCAAGAAGAGCTCTGTTACTACCAAACTGTGTGTGGAGCTGAGGAGGGGCCTGCACCTCAAGTCCCAAATACCTGGTAGGATTGGAGGGGTGGGGGGGTAGGGCACGGGTCTAGAAATCAAGCTTCTACCTATACCTTATGTAAGGTAGATCCTCTTAGTTTTAGTACACTGAGCTAGTTTACCTCAGTTCCACAGGCAGGACACTTGGTCCAGGAACCCCCTTGAAGAGGGTGTCCTGGCATGGCCTGAGTGTGAGTGTGTGTGTGTACCTGTATGTGCACTGGACAGGAACGGGAGGCTGGGACTTTCCATACAAATACTTAATTCCTGTTGAGTCTAGTTGGAATTTTTAGTATGAATGTGAGATTTCTCCTGCTATGTCATTAAGAATAAAGAAACTGTGATCTATCGTAGACCTGTTGTCTTTTATTCTTGAGGTCAGCACTTCTCTCACCAGCGAGAACACAGCCCAGGGAAGGGAGGCAAAGCAATCCACACTGTCTTTCCGGCTGGAGAGACAAGACGACCAGCTCCCGTCCTATGGCAATAAAAAGAACTTTTCAAAACTGCTGCCTGGGTGTGAGGGCCCAAGCTAAGCAGGGAGGGGTAGGGAGCGGCTGATGTCTACATTTCTCCCACCCCACAAATCATAGCTGAGTACCTGCTACGTGCAAGGCGGTGTGCTAGGAGCAGCTGCTGCTTTTCGCCGCCTCTTCCTCCTCTTTGGGGTGGGGCTAGGACTAAGTTCTGGAAGTGGCGATGCTTCGGCCAATACTGAGCTACGAGAAAAGTAAATTAGATGTGTCGCAATCTTCCAGTATCTTCCAAGCAGGCCCCCATTCACTCACCTTGGTGCCTCTACCCGTTCGAGTACAGCAATGAAGAAGCCACCAGTGAGTGTGGTCTCAGGGGAGGCGCGGAGGCAGTGTTCGGCACCCTGAAAAGTGCTAAGGCCTCGGTGGGGCCAGGAGGGTAGAACAGGAGCAACTCTGTTGGAGAATAAACAGCACAGACTTCAAGTAACAGCGAGCAGCACCCCCTCCCCCCAAGAGCCTGGTGGACGGCACTACCTGAAGGTGCCCTGGCATTGCTGCAGGGCGTCTCGCACCACATCTTCATTCTCCTCTTGGCAAAGGGAACATGTAGAGTAGACAAGGCGCTGCAGGGATGGGAAAGTAAGCGCATGGCAGAGAGCTCGCAGCTGGAATCCTGCCAGAGCCTGCAAGCGTTCCTTGCTAGGTGGACCTGCCCCAGGTTCCTCCAGCTGTCTGGTCAACATACCTAAGGAAAAGTTTTAATGACAGACTGTCCTATTTGGTACTGATGTCCTTTCTTCACGGAAAAGAAGTTTTGCCCAGGGCCACAAAATGGTGACAGCCAGACGTACTCCACCCCTTCTACTCTAAAGTCGCTCTGGATCGTGGGGCCCATGCTGCTTCTCCAACTCACCTGAGCCGCTACAAGAAGGATCCAGCAAGATGTACTGGACCTGGCAATACCGCTGGTCTGATGGTGAGATTGCCAGGAAGTCCTTCTCAGCCAGCTCACAGCAAGAGACTCCAGCCCGGGCCAGTAGAGTAGCCATAGATGACAGCCTCTTGGCATCCAGGTCAAAGGCAAAGATTTTCCTAAAGAAGAGAACAGAGTTAAGCAGAATTTATAGAGTATCTTACAGACAATAAGGTACATTAATTTGAGAGCCAGAAAATAATGAGGTCAGCGAGAACTCGCCTGGGACTTTGCCCAAAAGGTTAAGGGATCCAAATCTCAAGTTGCAACCCAATGGGAAGCTTAGCTTGGGCTACATCATGAAATGCCCTGGGTCAAGGACACATTTGCTTCTAAAAAGATTTATTTTTAAAATAAAAATTGGGGAGAAATTGGGGAGCAGAACAGGCAGATGAACTGAAATACACTGCTGAGGGGAGCAGTGGGCGAGACAGGAGAGGTCTGCTGTGCCATGTGGGTCAGCTCCCTGGCCGGGGATCAAACTCATGCTGCAGTGGCTGGTATGAGACTTAACCCCTGTGCCACCAGAGAGGCACAGGAGGAAATATTTAAAGGACAGTCCTCCCAGTTTTCAGACATATCAGAACAGAGTTCCTTATTTCTTAGTAAATCCAGGTAAGACCCCATCCCCATCCTCTGACCATGGCACTCACCCTTGGTTCTTCAGAAGAGCAGCCAAGTGACTAGTCTTATTGCCGGGGGCAGCACAGGCATCAATGACATAAGAACCCGGTGGGGGAGCCAGCAGCATGGCTGGGAGACAGCTGGCCTAGCAGGACATAGCAGCTGCATGAAGCGACCCCAGGCTGGTCACTCTCCCACACCTGCCCTTTTTGACCCATCTTGCTACATACCTTATCTTGTAGGATGAGGTGGCCAGCTTGGTATAATGGATGTTCATGCAAATCTGTCTGGGCAGGAAACACCAGCAGCTCAGACAACAAGGGATCCAGAAGAAAACACTTCCCTTTGAGTACCCTCAGGTCCTCGAGGCTGCCAGGAAATAACATTTTCTCAATTCCTCCATGCCAGGCACCAGGCTGGACATTTCACAGATTACCACTTTAATTGTTCACTCATGCAACAAATGTTTGAAACTGCTAGATTTATTGTATTGTTCATTTTGCAATATATACAAAGCATGAATCCTTAAACTGTGCATCTGACACTAATAAGGTTCTATGTCAATTACACCTCAACTTAAAAAAGGGAATGCTAGGGCCTCCCTGGTAGTGTAAGGGGTTAAGCACCGCACTATGAAGCAATCCACAGCCTCTGCAGCATGAGTTCGATGCCTGGCCAGCCAGGGAGCAACCACATGGCGCAGCAGACCTCTCCTGATTCGCCCGCTGCTCCCCTCAGCAGTGTACTTCAGTCAGTCTGCTCCCCAGTCAATCTGTCTCTGGTGAATCCTCTCACCCCCCGCATCTCTGTCCTGTACTCAGTTCTTGTATGCATAAATAAATAAATCTTTAAAAAAAAAAAAAGGGAGGGTCTCCCCGGTGGCGCAGCGGTTGAGCACTGGGTTGCGAAGCTGCCCGCAGCCTCTGCAGCGCTGGTTCGATCCCCGGCCGCCGGGTGAGGGTCCCACACGGCGCGCAGACCTCTCTTGCCGCCGCCTGCTCCCCTCAGCAGTGTACTTCGTCGGTCTGCCTGTTCTGGTCCCCTGTCTGTCTCTGGTGAATTCTCCCACCCTCCCGCGCTTCTGACTGTACCCAGTGCTTGTATAAATAAATAAATAAATCTTTAAAAAAAAAAAAGGGAATGCTGTAGAATAGTCCAATGAGAAGTTTAAGCATATTGTTTTGGGAGCATTTTTCTTAAATCTTGAATTTTGAAAATGTGTTTTAACAATTTTAAAAAGGGTGCAAAGTTCAGAGAGAAGATGTATTCAGTTCAAGAAATGCTACAATTGTGGTGTCTGGAAAGCAGTGATGTGAACCTGAGAGTAGGAAGGCAAGAAAGTCTAGACTGGAAGATAGCTATCATCAGGTGAAAAGTAGGAGTTAAAATAGGGAAGAAACTGAAGGATACATTAGGAGACTACAGAATGGGATTCCCAGAAGAATTAATGTTTAAAGGATGGAGGAAGGGGGCCTCTCTGGTGGCGCAAGGGGTTAGGGCTCATCCCTATAAAGCTACCAGCAGCCACTGCAGGCAAGTTCAATCCCCAGCCAGGAAGCTGACCCACATGGCACAGCAGACCTCTCCTGTCTCGCCCGCTGCTCCCCTCAGCAGTGTATTTCAGTAGATCTGCCTGTTCTGCTCCCCACTGTCTCTAGTGAATCCTCTCACCCCTGCCCATCCCCCTGCACCTCTGGCCTACACCCCATCTCTTGTATGTATAAATAAATAAAATAAATCTTTTTTTAAAAAGGATGGAGGAAGCTAAGTCTTGGAAGGAGATGAAGAAATTATTGGAAAAGTAGGAAGAAAAGAAAACCCAAAGGTAGCCAACACCACCCCACACCTTTCTTCCTATGCATCCTTATCTCCCCAGTGCTCCCAGACACCCCCCCATATGAGAGTCGCCAGGCAGCATTCTAAACTCACCTGGAAGCCCGACCTTGGTAGGAAAAACCTTGTCTCTTGAAATAATCAATTACATCATCAGAGCAGGTCTTGAGGGTGTTCACCCGCACAAATCGAGGCACCTGGGAGGCTAAGAAGCAATCAGCAGTGAGTGGGCATGAACATGGCCTGCTCCTTTGAGGACTGGATGGCGCTCAGCCTCCTCCACAATTCCTTCCAGCTCACCCGGGCCAGGCTTGGATCCCTCCTCCAACAGGTCCTCGTTCCGGCTCACACCTCGTTGTACCTTGAGCCGGGCCAACTCAGCCTTCAGTCTTGCCTGGTGCCGGTCCAGCACAGGCTTCCATCTGCCCCCACCCCCTCTGAAGCCTCTTCCCAGCAACAGCTCATACACCAGCACCTGAGAACAGGAAACAGAAAAAACCCGGAGTATTAATACCTTGGGACCCCACAGAGCTGAAACCGCAGAAGTGACACAGATCACCCGTCCCGGCATTAACTGATCAAAGTGATGTGATTTGCCCACGATCACGCAGGCAGTGATCAATACGTGACTTAAATCTCGCGTCTTTCTGCCCATCCTGGACCCTTTCTTTCCTCAGGGGTCCTCACCAGCCGGGCTCTGGATCGCAACCCACCTCCCTGACAACGTCACCCTTTTGTTTTCCCTGAAGAGTCCCCACCGCCGCTCTTTTGCCCTCCTGCTTAGTTCGGCTTTGCCCCCAGGCTGCAAAGTAAAGCTTTCTCACGCCCCTTCCATTCGCAACCCGGCGCAGGGCTGCTCAGACTCATCTCAAAGGAGCGGCTCGCTCGGGTCACACCGTGGACGCGAACTAGCTAGTCCCGGGGACCTAGCGGTTCTCGCACAGGCCCGGCCCCCGCCGCGCCCCGCCCGCGCCCCACCTTGGCCAGGTGCGGCCGCAGCTTCTTCTCGGCGCGGAGGAGGCCGGCGCCGGCGATGACGGCGTCCAGCACGGCGGCGTAGCGCTGCGTCTCGCACACCAGCGCGTACAGCTGCTTCACGTTCTGCGGCCGAGAGGACACGCGCTGAGGCCGGGGCCGGCGCGGCCACCCCCACCCGCCAGGCCCGGACCCTGAACCCCGCTACCTGGAAGCGGCTGGCGTACACCAGCCCCTTGATGGAGCCCTGGCGGCTCTCCACGCCCGCCAGCACGGCCGCCGCCGCCGCGTACACCGCCATGCCCCGGCCGCGCGCCTCGACTTCCGGTTCAAAGGGCACGCAGGTCCCGCCCCGGAAGCCCCTCGTGGGGGGGGTGTATCCCGTTCTCGCGCACGCGCAGAGCCCCGCGTGCGGATCAAGTGTTTGCGCGCGCTTGTGTTTGTCTTAGTGGCCTTATGAACATGTGCCTCTTGTCTGATAGTTGTTTCCCTTTGGGTTTATGGTTGTTTTGGTCAACATGGTGTTTTCAGTTTTTTTTTTAAAAGATTCATTTATGCGTACAAGAACTGGGGTGCAGGCCAGAGATGAGGGGCGGGGTGTTGAGAGGATTCACTAGAGACAGATCGGGGAACAAAACAGGCCGATTGACCGAAGTACACCGCTGAGGGGAGCAGCGGGCGAGACAGGAGAGGTTTGCCTCGCCATGTGGGTTGCTCCCTGGCTGGCATCGAACTTGTGCTGCAGAGGCCGCTACTGCTTCATAATGCTGTGCTTAACCCCTTGTGCCTCCGGGGAGGCCCGGTGTTTTCAGTTTTGAAATCTTTATTTAAACAAATAGTTTCTGCCCTTAGTGACTGTAGTGGTGGGAAGGGACAGTGCAGGTTCTGTATGATTCCAGCAGACGGGTCAAGGAGGAATCCTGGAGCCCTCAGTGGCTTTTCAGGCTCTTATTGGGATTTTTACCAGGTACATGGCAGGCAGGGGTGCCCAGTGGCCGTGAGGCTGGCAGGCCTCCCAGCCCCCAGCAAGTCTCTACTCATTCTGGGCCCTCTGGCATTCTCTGAGGGTCTCTGCTTCTCTGCTCCTGTGGCTCTTTCGTTCTCTTCTGCTCCCGGCTTCTACTGGCATTGCCATGACGCTGCCCTTATAAGCCCAGTCTCTCAGCCCAGACATCTAAGTATGCCCACACCCCACTCCAGGTGTCTGCCATCAGGCATGCATTCAGGACTGCAAGGATCTATCCTCAATCCTAATGGCGGGAGAGCAGAAAAGCCTGATATGTCTTTTACCTTATCCCACAGTGACTTGCTTGGAGACCCCTTTACACCACCACGAAAGGAAATCAGGTGTGGCCTTTCCTAGCCTTTTCTGACTGGGTCAAAAGAGTAGTTGAGGGGAGTTTAAAGAAGGGATTATTAATAAAAGAATGGTCAGTTAAGGAAGCTACAGGGGCAGGTGCAGTAAGCAGGGTTAGCAATAGTGCCAGACCTGAGGGAGTGAGTGGGCCACCTGCCAGTGGGGAGAAGCTGCCAACTCAGCCCAGCAGGCAGGAAACTGGGAAAATAAGTACCTGAAATGCGCAGTCCTGTCCTCTGTTTCTTCCCGACCCTCCCATAGGCTGGACCCTACAGGAAGCCCGGCCCAGCCTCCCAGGACATGGTGCAGGGTGCAGAAGGGTGGCAGGTGCATACAGAGGAGCAACACTTTAGCCTAGTCATGGAATTGAAGGAAGACAAAACCCAAAACCCAGGCCTGGAAGTTGTCAAACACACAGGAACCACGGCCAAGTCCCGACAGACTTGCCTAAGGAAAGAAAAAACAGGCACCTTTTCGTTCAGACAGTTTATTACGTGCATCGATGGCAAAAGGGCGAACAAAGGTGCCAGCTCACAGCGTCCTTGTTGCACACACCAAGTCCTGCCACTGCAGTGAGTCACAGCATAGCCTGTTGCTAAGGAGCATCCGGAGGTTGTATGGAGGATGGCCTGGAAGTTGCCCCTCACAGCCCCATCTCCTCTCGTTCCTGGAGGGTCACTCAGGCTGTGGATGAGGCCTTGCTTGAGGGCCAGTGTGGATCCTTGCCAGGTGCCAGGGTAGAGCTGCCCCATACCAAAGACTCAGGTAGCTGTGCAGACCTCAGTAGCACAAAGTCAGGGAGCCTCTCACAATAGCACCAGGTCCTCGGTGAACTCAGCCCCCAGCATTGTCTCTCTTCCAATCTTTAGGTTCAAGAGAGACTTGGCTTGACCTGTGGACACCAAGGCCTGGCTCCACTGACTCCCGCAGAAGGCTAACAAACAAGCCCATACTGACAGGGAAGAGATTATGGAAATGTTCTCCCTATCACTAAATGTTTCAAGGGACACACGGGCCTCCTTCCAGTGAAGATGCCGCCGCCTCTGCGCACTGGAGCCAGTGGATGCCTCGCCTTCCTTTGTCCTGCAGGGCAGGGCTGTGGGCGGCAGCACATGATCAGCCTATGGCTTGGTGGACTGTGGTGGGACGAGGCGGCTGGGCCGGCCAGGTGGGGGCAACACCATAGGCAGGCAGTTGCTGCCCCTTTCGTGCCAGCACGTGTCCAGGATCGGGTAGAGCTTGCCCTGGAAGTCAGCCTGGAATGTGTAGAGTGGCCGCAGGTCATCAGGGCGGTCGGCGTCGAAGAAGGTGAGCTCTCCCTGCTCATAGTGCAAGTAGATGCCGATGCGGTGGGGGTGGCCAGACACAGGCAGGGGCACCCGCGGGCAGCCAAAGGCTTCATACACCCGGCCCTCCTTCAAGCCGACAAGCCACACGCCATGCTCTGGGGACTTGCTCAGCTTGCCCTTGCGACTGGCTGTGCCCTTGATGACCCCCAGGCGCCAGTCACTCTTGCTGCCCACCACCACTTCCCAGTAGTGGCGGCCGCAGGAGAAGCCCCGGCTGGCCAGGACACAGGTACTGTAGTCGAAGCGCTCGGGCTGGATGGCACACCGCTGTGCCAGGAGCCCACACTGCACCACCGTGTTGCCCTTGGACAGCTCCAGGAGGGGATGGGCAGTGGCAGGGTCCAGCTTGAGGGACTCAGGGGCTAGGAAAGATCAGACAAGGCATGTCCTCAAGCCACACAGAAGGCCGAACACCCTGCAGCAATGAAGGCCCGAGCCCCGTGGGAGAGGAACTGTGTCTGCCTCCTCCCTGTATCACAGGCCTAGTGGAACCTGGCACAGAGTTGGCACCCACAGGATGTTTGCTGAATGACTGAATGATGCCGGAGGGTGGGTGTGGGGGGGAACAGACAGCCGAAAGCTAGGGAACAAAGGTAAGGGGAATGGAAAATGGTCTTGACCTGCATGATGAGGCGGAAGTGGCTAAGGAAGGGCCTAGAAGACAGACTGTGGCATATGCCCCGCAGCTAAGCTCTCCAGCAGGCTGGAGACTCCATGACAAGGATAGTGTTTTTCTCTGATACCCAGCGGCCAATGCAAGGCCAAACTAGCAGAAGTGACCTCTTTGCTAGTTACCAGCTATCAGCTTACACCAAAAAAGTGCAAACAAGTTCCACTGTTCAGACTGCAGACTGTTCTCCCCTCCCCCCTTTCTCTCTTATGTAAACCCTGTTTTTGCCTTTGTTGCATGAAGTCAACCTACAGCTGATTGCCCTTATGTGCTAATAGTGAAGGAGCGATTAAATGTCTGAGTTATTTTTTGACACACACACAGAGAAGACACACAGGCTCACACACACATATGTATATCTAAACTCCACCACCCAGCAAGGTGGACAGGAATAGTCCCTCTTTACAGGTGGAAACTGAGGCTCAGAAATGATACAACTCTGTCACCTGGCTGCCCTGGAGCCCACGCTGTTTGGAGGAGACCCTGCTGTGTCCTCATCACCACCCCGTGCCAGCCCCCCTCCAGTTCTCTGTACCTCAGACTCGGATGCCATCGACAGCCGCTGCCATCCCTGGGTGCAGCCCTCAGTAAAGAGGAATGGGGCCTCACCTGGCAGAACCTTGTGGAACAGTCTTTTCCACACGGTCAGCTTGATGTCGGCCTGATGGAGGCCTGGCTTGAAGGAGATAGGGCTGAACGCACCCTCCAAGGGCCGCGCCTGCTGGAGCTCTGCTCTGGGGGGACAGTTCACAGTGATGGAGTGACAGTACCTTGTGCCCCACCCTGGTTCCGCTCAAAAGCCCGACCAGCCAACCACAGCTCAGAAAACTGACTCAAGGCGCCTGCCATTTCCTCCCTCCACTCCAGAGGACCTGCCTGCCACTTCCCTCCTCCCTGGAAGGAGAAAACACTCAACACCTGTGGTGCTGAGTGTATGTCGGGACCAACAGCATCACCTGGAGCCTGTGAGAAACGCACCTCTTCTTGGCTCCCACCCCAGACCACCTGAATCAGAAGGGATTGTTGTGGCCCAAGGTCTGTGTTCCAGTCGGCCCTTCAGGCGGCTGACGGATGTTTAAAGATCACTTCTCTGTATGGGGCATCCTAGCCCCAGCTGGAGTGGACACCGGCTCCAAATTGAGTCACATTCCCTGCCCATTTATTTAAACTAGTGCTCTAGCCAAATTGTCCCCAGGACTAAAGGAAGTGTGAGGAACAGGACATTTGTGTAAACGGGTTCTGAGGAAGGTTCAGGACCTACCCAATTGATCTAGAAAATGCCCCAGCCCCTCCCCACAAGCTGAGGTGGGAGTTTTGAGGCCTCTGGCCATCCCCACCTTTCTGGCCTCAACCCTCTGCCCCATCCACCCTGCAGGGACTTCCCAGCCTCCCTATGCTGAACCCCCAGGACTCAGAGTCTGACACGATTCACCATTTCACAGGACTCTGCCTGCCTGCAAACTGTCCTCGCCTCGTCTCAGCTATCCTGCCATCTCTGTCACCCACCCCAGCCCCCAGTCGCCTCTTCCTTTGGGTTATTTTTGTAGTTTGTGTGAACTTCAAGTATTCAAGGTCCTCACGGTGATGTGACTGTAGCTCACCATCCACCTCCCACCAGCCCACAGACCGCTGAGGGCAGGGCCAAGACTTGCATCTGATTTCCCTGGGCCCAGCAGAGCCAGATGTGGGCAGCTGCTCCTGAGGCACGGGAAAAACTAAGGGAGGAACTATGGGAATGAGAGGCCGTGCTTGTGCCGCCAGACCTTCTTGGAGGGTCCCCTGAGCATATTACCTGGAGGCCAAGGAGTGGTACTTCTGGAAAACAAGAGAGGGACCAGAATGGAAGGTTGTTAGGAAGGGGGGTGCTCTTGGGGCCCTGGGGGCTGGCATGGGGGACACTCTCTTGGCCACTCACCCGGATGAACTCGTGGTGACTCTCGTTATTGAACTGCTCCAGCACACACTCAGCCTGCACGAGCCGCTCCCGAGTGCCCCGAGCCTGTTCCAGCTGCATGTCCAGAGAGGCCACCAGGCCGCGGGTGTGGCCCTCTACCCCCTCCACGCAGCGGGCCTTCTCTTCATCCACTAGATGGTGCAGCTCCTGGAACTCTCGGCGGATCACCCAACTGAAGACATCAGACTCATTCTGGGACAGGAAGGTGGCCAGTCACAGCCACAGACACACACAACAGAACCTCGAAGCTCAGGCCTTGTTGGGCCTTCCCAACCCGGCTGGTCCTGGAACCTGAGTCCCAAGGCTAAGTCCAGCCAGGTGTTGCGATGTGTCCTGGGGACCCAGATGTGGCCGTGGGGCAGGGCACAGAGGCAAAGGACAGCTGGGTCCCAGTTCCGGTCTCTAATACAATGGCTCTAATCTCACCTTTTTCAGCCAGTGTGTACTTGAGAGTTTGCCTTATCACAGGATAAAGTTCCCACAACTGAAAAAGTCTGAAAGGCCCCACAAGAGCAGGCTTTGGAGTGAAAGAACCTGGGGCTCCCATGTGATCCTGAGTTCTACCTTTGTCATCACACGGGGGTCAAGCCACCTCCCTCCCAAGGGTGAGGAGGGTTAAAGTGGCTGCAGGATACCCGTATGCTGGTCCTGCTTCCTGACTGCCTGCAAGGCCAGGACTCCACACGCACCCAGCCCCGTGTGCCTCACTTAGGAATTGCACACAGCATAGCATTTCAGGTCTTGCCACCCACTAAGGCATGGGGAGGGCACCACCACGAGCTGTCAAGGTCAAGCAGACACAGGTGGCAGGGGAGGGTGAGTCCTGCCGGCTCTTTGGGCTGTTTACCTCTGGGGCTCGGGTTCTGGGTTATCTCAGTTCCAAGGACATGGCGGACACGAGCCAACTTGGAGACAGTGCTGAGTAGAATTCCCTAGGCGGATTTGCACATTCCCCGCCCCACCCTGGAATGCTTTGAGTTCTGGCTTTATATGGAAGGCATGGATTTCTGTAAAGGACAAATTAGAACTGGGCTTGCAGGAAAGAGCAGGTGGCAGGCCCAGAGCAGGGGGCCGCGGAAAGGGGACTCACAACAATCCGGGTCCTGTTGTTGACCAATTTGGCGATGTGCTCATCCACCTTCGCCTGCTCCCGCTTGAGGTCAGAGATGAGGACGGCCAGCTCCTCCTGAGGGCAGCACCAGCTGTGAGCAGTGGGCCCCTCCTGGTGGCCCTGGGCTTCCCCCTTCCAGGCAGCACCCCAATGACCACAGCACTCCAGGTGGCACCAGGGCAGGGACTGGAGTAACCAGAGCTGCCCTTGACCCCAAAAGAGGTAAAATTGTTCAAGAATAGTCCACACTGGGCCTCCCCGGTGGCGCAGCGGTTGAGTGCTGGGTTGCAAAGCTGCCCGCAGCCTCTGCAGCGCCGGTTCGATCCCCGGCTGCTCCCCGGCCACCAGAGAAGGGTCCCACATGGTGCGCAGACCTCTCCTGCCGCCCGCTGCTCCCCTCAGCAGTGTACTTCGGTCCTTCTGCCTGCTCAGCTCCCCGCTCTGGCTCTGGTGAATTCTCTCACCCTCCCCCGCTTCTGACTGTACCTAGTGCTTGTATAAATAAATAAATCTTTAAAAAAAAAAAAATAGTCCACACTGACAGCACTAATTGACCAGGCAGAGAAGAAGCGTCATGTTAACCCTCTCTGTGACGTGGAGAGAGATGCTAAGCACTGTTACAGCCATGCGGAGGTCACTACACAACACCCGCTGGGGCAATCCCCAGTTTGAAGTCCACGTTCCCTACATGGGGTGCTGGGAATGCTGCCCATTGGGTGGCCACCAGGTAATCTCTCTAGTCACCAGCAGGTCCAGAGCCAGTGGGCATGTGATCAAGAGTCATCCTGAAAAGTTGGTGCCAAGTGAGGCCAAGGATGCATGTGGTGGCCCAGGTTCTCCTGTATCCCTGCTCCCTGTGAAGACAGAATCCTCCCCTTGGGCCCAGCCTGGATTTGGGGTCTTCCCAGGCGAAGTAAAACTTATTTTTCCTGAGCTGCCACAGGCCCAAATCTGACCTAGCCTTAGGGGTACCAACCAGGACTCCCAGGCCACCATCTGGCTGCACCCCTTGACGGTAACCCTGCTAGTCTGTGGCATGGGGTGCACAGACTTGGGCTTAGATAGTTCCATGTTAGAAGTTAGTTCAAGAGCCTTCCAGAAGGGAGCCAGGTAAAGAGTAAAGCCAGCCAGAGTCGGATAAACAAGCAGAGTCTTCACTGATGCCACAAACACATTCTGAACATTTACTAGTTGCCAGGCACAGAAGTACCCCAGGGGATAAAACAGCCCCTGCCCTCACGTGCCTGAGAGCCAGTTAGAAGAGCCCTAGAAAAATGAGCGCTACAGAGAAAAACACAGCAGGGGAAGGGCTGTCACGTGACACAAGGAGCTCCCCATCACCAGCGGGGTTGCAAACCCCAGCACTCCTGGGGATGGGAGCAGTGGCTCCGAGCGCGATGAACGCCTGCGCGCCTGCCCGCGAGTTCAAGCCTGTGACCCTGTGTGCCAGGCGATGGCGCCAGGGAGCAAGGCGCGGGGCTGGGAGATCCCGGGACAGCCCCCCCCCCACGCCCCCTGCGCCCCGCAGCTGCCCTCGCTGCCCACCTTCATGCGGCTGTACACGGTGGAGGCGGGCGTGACCTGGTGGTACTTGTGGGAGCCCAGGACACCGCAGAGCCCGCAGATGAGCTCCTGGTCCTTCTCGCAGAAGAGGCTCAGCGGGTTGCGGTGGTGCGCGCAGACCTTGGGCTCCTGGTCCCCGGAGCGCCGGAGGGCTTCGATCACCCGCACCAGGGAGAAGTTGGGCGGGGAGCTGCTGCCGTCCACCACCTGCCGGCACACGGGGCAGCGCAGCTCCGAGTCCAGGTGGCAGGACAGGTTCACCAAGCAGCCCTGGCAGAAGGAGTGGCCGCACTGCAGCATCAGGGGCTCTTTGAAGACCTCCAGGCAGATGGGGCACTGAAGCACGGCCTGCAGCTCCCACGCCATCCGCTGCCGAGCAAGCTGGAACTCCGGTCGCTTCCCTCCAGGCTGCGTCCCTCCAAGCCTCTATTGCAGCCCCCAAGGGCAGCTGGAGGAAATTAGAGGGGCGTAAGAACACCAGTCCTGGATTCCATTCCTGACCCCCTATGTCCTTGGGCCTGTGTTCCCATATTCATGACAAAGGACTTAAGTGTCTGTGTTGGGGTGGGAGGGGGTTGGGGGAGGTCACTAGGAGATACATGATTCTACATTTTTGTACTCAGGATTTTGGAGGTAAGCCCCAAAGGGGTCATTTGGAGTCACACTAACAAGTTAGCCCCACTTCAAGGGAAGTGAAGGTCCTTGCCACCTTGGAGATGAGTTAAACTGGAAAGCAACTGTTGAAAGTGTTGGCAAACTTCCACACAGCTCCAGAAATCTGCGTTTACGAGACACCCCTGGGTAATTCCAAAGCAGAGCTCAGTCTCAGGACAACTCTGCTCCAGAGTGTCTGGTACCTAGGGGAGCCTTAGCCCAGCTGACCCCCACCCCCTGGGTAAACAGGCCGCGGAAGAGCAAAAGCACCAGGGCGGAAGGGAGAGCCTCCATGCTGGACTACCGGGCTTCTCACCACCCGCCAAGCCTCCCGCCAGCACAACTGACCTGATCGGCTTGGCCTTTTCTTTTGCCCAGGATGGGACAGGAGGCATGGAGACCTGGGATGGCAGCTGGACACCTGTTCCACTACCTGGTCCTGCCCCTTCTGCTCCTCCCCTTTCCCAGCAATACCCCTGTGTCCTCAAGGTCGCCCAGAATCAGGTGGAAGCTGGGCCACATCATGAGACTAGGCGGGTTCTGATAACTGCAGCGTTCAGGTGCTAGCCTTGGCGCTCATGGGGAGGGGCAGGGAATGTGGAGGAGGCAGCGCCCACACCTCAGACCCCAACAGGAGCAGACTGGTGCTTTGACCAATTCTCTCCAAATCTCTCTCCCTTTCAGAATTTTTTTTAAAAAGATTTATTTTATTTATGCATACAAGACCTGGAGTTAGGCCAGAGGTGCAGGGGGAGTGGGTGTGTGTGTGTGATAATTCACCAGAGACAGAGTGGGGAGCAGAACAGGTGGAGTGACTGAAATATACTGCTGAGGGGAGCAGCAGGAGAGACAGGAGGGGTCTGCTGCACCATGTGGGTCACCTCCCTGGCCGGGGATCAAATCGTGCTGCAGTGGCTGCAGATAGCTTTATAATGCTGAGACTTAACCCCTTGCACCTCCAGGGAGGACACTCGCTTTCAGAATTTTTATACAGCTAATCTTGCTGCCATAATATACTATACATGTTGTGTGTGTGGGGGGTGGGGGGTGGTTACTGATGGAAAAGACTGGAGTGGGAGAGGCTTTCAAGGAGTATGAGAAACAAAGGGGTGAGAACAGCAGCCCCCAGTCCCCAAAGGCCTAACACCTGTGTCTGCCAGCAGCGGAGGCGTCTTCTAGTGATCAGACCAAGGTCTGGCAGGGGCGGGTAGTGTTGTTAAACCAACAAATACTTACTGGGAACCTGTTATATGTCAAGCACAGAGCTGTCTATAAGGGTCACAGTAAAGAACAAGACAGTCAAGGTTTCTGTTCTTTTGGAGTTCGAAATACACCCAGTGCCCCATATGTAGTTTCAGCCCACACATTCAATGGTGGTCCCTTTGTGTCGCCTGGTGTAAGTACAGTTGGACTGAAAAAGGGGTGTCAGTGATCCAAGTCCAACACGACTGTCCCCCAATGTGACTGCTCATAGCCTGCTGGTGACCGACAGCCTTGCTGCTAACACAAGGTCAATCAACACATATTTTGTGTATGTTTTTCACTGAATTCTTACAACAGAGTCAGCCGAAGAAAACGTCCTTAAGAAAAGCATAAAGAGGGGCCTCCCCGGTGGCGCAGCAGTTGAGCGCTGGGTTGCGAAGCTGCCCGCAGTCTCCGCAGCGCCGGTTCGATCCCCGGCTGCTCCCCAGCCACCTGAGGAGGGTCCCACATGGCCCGCAGACCTCTCCTGCCGCCCGCTGCTCCCCTCAGCAGTGTACCTCGGTCCTTCTGCCTGCTCTGCTCCCCGCTCTGGCTCTGGTGAATTCTCTCACCCTCCCACGCTTCTGACTGTACCCAGTGCTTGTATAAACAAATAAATAAATCTTAAAAAAAAAAAAAAGAAAAGCATAAAGAAAAATTACATTTGCAGTACAACGTGCTTTGGGTTAGTACTGTATTTCTTGATGCCAGTGGTTACGTCCTCTGTTTGCCAGAATACCCACCCGTAAGTGGACCTGTGCGGGTCAAACCCATGTTGTCTAAGGGCCGCCTGTAATTTCTGTGACATTCACACCCACAACCTGGCTTAGAGAGACATTTCTCAGAACCTACCGCCATCATTAAGCAACACATGACTGGGGGGGGGCGTGGCTGGAAGCGCACTGGGGGGGTGAGATGGTGACATGGCAGTGAAGTAAGTGCTGTGCAGGAAGGAAACCATATGGTGTGGGGGATGGGAGCTGGAGGTGCCCTTTTAAAGGGGGCCAGGGCAGTGTCTCACAGGAGGCTTGATGCTGAGGCCTGTAGGAGACAGAGGCCCCTGGACGCCTGCAGTAGGGAAGACCCATGGTGGGACAGCAAGGGCGAAGAGCATGAGGCTGGAAAGAACTCAGTGTGAGCGAGACACAGAGGAGAGCCGAGGAGACGTGGGCAGCCGTGAGAGACCAGCAGAAGGCCGGAGGGGCTGCAGGGAGGCCCTTAGGCCACAGCAAAGATTTCAAATTTAATCTCAAAGGCAGTGGGAGCTGTTGAAGGGCCTTAAGACAGGGGCATATTGCCCAATTTATATATATAAAATGTCACTCTGGCTGCTATGTAGTTAACTGATCACTGTGGCTTCAATCCCTGGGCGAAAGATGTAGAAACCAATGACTGCTAGAAAGAGGATGGAGGCGAAAAGAAGTCCAAGAGGGAACCCAGAGTCCAAAAACTCCCAGGTGGAGACGCAGAGTAGCCAGGGGTCGGCTGACATCAGCAAATGATAGAATTACTTGGAGGGTTTGTTAAAACAGACTGGGCCCTGTCTCCAGAGTCTCTGATTCAGGAGTATAGGGGTGGGCCCAAGAAGCTGCATTTCTAACAAGTTCTAGGTAACACTGATGCTGCTGGTCTGGGGACCACACTTTGAAAAGCACTACGAAAGGCACTAGGCGGGGAGGCTTCAGGCTGCCCAGGCTAACATGCCCTTGTTTAAGCACATCACATAGTTAAACCTACAGGAATGGCTCCAAATCTCTCAGTAAGACTATAGAAAAGCAGAGGTCCCTGAGGCTGCTAATGCCTAGAGGTTAGGCAGGGGAGGAGGATGAGAAGGCATAGCCTGTGGGGTAGGGGCAAAATCAGGAGTGTGTGGTGACCAAGAAGCTGGGGTCAGCAGAATGGCCCCCCCCAAGATATCCAACCCTGACACCTGCATCTGTGAACATGGGGCTTAACATGGCAAAGGGGATTTTGCAGGTGTACTGAAGGTCATGGACTTGAATAATCTGGGTGGATCCATCTAAGCACCCAAGTCCTTGAAGCAGAGAGCCTCCTCTGGCTGGTGTCAGAGAGTTGTGGGGTAAAAGGGGGCACGAAGACCCCAAGCACAGTGATTCAGAACATCGCTGCTGACTCTGAAGGGGAGGGCCTGAGGGCAAGGACTGCAGAGGGGCCCCTAAAAGCTAAGGGTGGTCCCTGGCTGACAGCCAGCAGCGACCGGAGACTGGGGCCTAGAGCTGCAAGGAGCTGGGTCTGCCACCTAAAAGGGCTTGGAAGGGAATTCTTCCCAGAGCCTCCGGTCAGGCTGACTGACCCCTGGCCTTTAGCCCCATGAGACTGATGTTGTGCTTCAACAGATGGTTTGTGCTAGTCCTACCATAGTGACAACAAATAAAGAAGTCAGAAGAAAAAAGCATTTCAAATGTCAGAGAGGTCCACTTCATCACATGCTGACTGGCGTTCAGTCTCCTGAGGACAAAGGTATCTGAGGATGTGGCAAAAGCAGCCATCCAGTGAGCCCAGGAAAGTGGTACTGAAGGGAGTAGAAGAGAAAATGGAGAGTAAGGAGGTGGAGAGAGTTGCAAAGCCATTGGAGTCATTCTTGAGTTTTTCTGTGAAGAATAGTGCCCGGGCCACCTACAGCAGGAGGGATGTGGAACAGAGGGAAGCTTGCTTGCTTCAAGGTGGGAGATTTTAGGATATGTCTAAGCTGGAAGACATGGTCCAATAGTCAAGGTAAGACTGGCACTGGGGAGAGGCTACCAAAGGCATCTAGTCCTCCAGAAGAACAAGGGCCCAGGACCAAGGGGCAGGGGCAGGACCCAGGACCATCTTCCTCTGCGCCCAGAAGGGGACAGAGCAGATTTTGTGTATTCGGTGATGAGTGAGGGACATCACCTCTTCTCTTGTTTGCCTGTAAAGTGGGTCAAAATTGGGGCCTCCCTGGTGGCGCAAGGGGTTAAGATGCAACCTATGAAGCTATTTGCAGCCACTGCAGCATGAGTTAGATCCCCAGTTATGGAGCTACCCACATGGCACAGCAGACCTCTCCTGTCTCACCCGCTGCTCCCCTCAGCAGTGTATTTCGTTAGTCTGCCTGTTCTGCTCCTCACTCTGTCTCTGCTGAATCCTCTCACACCCCCACACCTCTGGCCTGTACCCCAGTTCTTGTATGCATAAATAAGAAAATATTTTTAAATAAATAAAGTGGGTCAAACTTTCTCCCAGCATAAAGGAGGAAAGAAAGGAGAATTAAGAGTTAATCACCCCCTGGTGCTGTAGGGTCAGGAATGGCCACTGAGCAGGTTTTCTAGGATCCCATGCAGACTGGGTAAAGGAGGAATTCTGGAGCCCTCAGGGGTTTTGCAGGTCTTCATTGGGATTACTAGGTACACGCAAGGCAGGGGTGCTGGGGGGGGGGGCTGAGAGGCTGGCAGGGCTCCCAGCCCCCAGCAGGTCTTCACTCTGGGCTCTCCCGCCTTCTCTCAGCTTCTGCTTCTCTTGCTTCTCTCTCAGCTTCTGCTGGCATCCCCGTGACGCCGCCCTTAAAAGCCCAGCCTCAGCCCAGGTGAATCCCATCTACCTATGCCCACACCCTACTCCAGGTGCCCGCCATCAGGCATGCATTCAGGACCGCAAGGATCCATCATCTATCCTGATGGCGGGAGGGCAGAAAAGCCTGACATTTTTCCTCACCCTACAGGTGCCCAGCCTGACCATTTCAAAACAGGGTCCTTTCCCTGGCCTGTCCCACTGCCCATCGCCGCCCCATGGCCAGTTCCCGACGCCAGGGCACAGTGTGCCCCAGACCTTCCCCACTCCCACTACCCACCCCACAAGCCCCTGCCACTCCCAGCCCACGTCCTCCTGTGCCCCCCTCAGGCCCCTGCAAGGTGCCCCCATCATGGTCCCCTGTGCCCATCATGTGTTCCCTTATGTTTTGTGCAAGCGCACACCACACCACGTGCCCCAACATGCTCCCCGCACCCCCAGGCGCCCCCTCCTGTTTCCGCATGCGCACCCTCCTCCCCCCACCCCTCCCTCCCCCCACCCCTCCCCCCACCCCTCCCCCCCACCCCTCCCTCCCCTCCACCCCTCCCTCCCCCCACCCCTCCCCACACCCCCCACCCCTCCCTCCCCCCACCCCACCCCCACCCCCCACCCCCCACCCCCACCCCCCCCCCCACCCCCACCCCCCACCCCCCACCCCCCACCCTCCACCCCCCCCTGGGCGGCCCTCACGCCCCGTGCTCCGCCCCTTCCCCTCGCCCCGCCTCCCACGTGCTCCGCTGCGGCCTGGCCCGGCCGGCCGTTTGGCGCCCGTTGTGGTGAAGCAATGAGAGGCTCCTCGTGGCCCCGACCTGGAACGCCGCCGCGGGGAGCCGCCGGCATGGTATAACGCGCCCCGCCCCCCTCCCCCCCCCCACTTCTGGAACCTCCCGCGGGGCCGAAGGCGGGGGCTGCGGGCTGCTCTGCCGGGGCAGGGGGGCGCACGGGGAGCTGGGGGCTGCCGGGGACGAGGCCGCTGGAGTCGGGGTGCGGTCGGAGGACCCTGAGGTTCTGTGTTTCCTTCCCTACAAGTCTCCGTACCAGAGGTTAAGTCGCAGGATGCTGGACATCTCGGGGGACCGGGGCGTGCTGAAGGACGTCATCCGGGAGGGGGCCGGCGAGCTGGTGACCCCCGACGCCTCCGTGCTGGGTAGGGCTGCGCCCGCGGGCGGCCGGGCCTGGCGATGACCCGGGGCGGCGAGGGTCTCGCCACGCTTCACTTTGGGGGGAGGGAGGCCATGCTTTCCCCCAAATTAACGTTTTATAGGGGGGAACTCACTGTTGCCATTGAGGATTGTAAGGGAAAGCAGGAAACCATCTCCCCTTTGGGGATGCCACGGTGAACCAGGGGCGCTCCCGGGCCCACCTGTCTGACTTCAGGGTGGGGGCCACTGAAGAACACCCGCTTGTGGTGTTTGTGTGTGCGCCTGAAGAGACTGGAGAGAGAGGGGTGAGTGTGTTGGGTCCGTTTTCTTCACGTGTCTCTCGCCTCGGCCCTAGTGAAGTATTCGGGATACCTGGAGCACATGGACAAGCCGTTTGACTCTAACTGCTTCAGGAGAACGCCCCGGCTCATGAAACTCGGAGAGGGTACGTGCCTGTTTAGAAGCCGGTTATGAAGGACTCCTCTGGGGAACCGATGAGGAAGAATGACCAGGATTGGAAAACTGTCCAAAGCACTGGCTCTTCAAGGTGGTTTTCCTGAGGCTGGGTTTTGCTAAACCATCAAGGCACTCTCCCACATCCCCGCACCCCAGACCTAGGTTTTGGGGAGCTAGCCTACCTGGCAGAGTAATCTTTGCATCCTGACGTAGTCACTGCATTTTCCTTAGTTCCTTTATCAAGTAGACCTCTTTTGACTGCTGCTACCCACACTGCACAAGGAAGAATCTCTGTCAGTGAGGTGGGGGGCATTGACCCTGGTTCAGACCACAAACCTGACAGACTTGGATGAGCTCCTGGGGGGACGAGGGGTGTCTTCACTGTGTTGCGGGTTTACTTAATGAAGGCACAATTAATTCCAGCTGGGATAATTGGGAAAGCCTGCATGGAAGAGAGGGGACATGTGAAATGAGCCCTGAAGTTTGAATGAGATTTCAGTCAGGGTGAGAGCCGAGCGTGGGGTGAGGAGGAGGCCATGGCAGGAAGGAGAGACAGCATGAACAAAGATGTGGCGGCCAGAATGCTGGGAGCCTAGAGAAGCTGGAATCTGGGTTGGGAGGGGAGTTGTGGTGGTAAACAAGGCTGTAAAGTGAGTTGGGGCCACAATGCAGGCACTTTGAACATTCTGGGGAGAGGTTTGCACTTAAGGAGCAAGAGATCCATAGCATTAAAACAGGATCCTGGGCAAGCTTCAACTAAGTTCTTTGTCCCTTCTTCCAGATATTACCCTTTGGGGCATGGAGTTGGGCCTCCTGAGCATGCGGAAGGGAGAGCTGGCCAGGTTTCTGTTCACACCGACGTACGCCTATGGAACGCTGGGCTGCCCTCCCTTGATCCCCCCAAATACCACTGTCCTGTTTGAGATCGAGCTGCTTGACTTCCTGGACTCTGCTGAGTCAGACAAGTTTTGTGCCCTCTCAGCTGTAAGTTCTGGGGCGCAGGTGTTGGCACTTTATAGATTGAGTTGGGGTTGTGTGTTTGGTGGTTTTGTTCCTTTGAGCTACCCAGGTAGCACCCCGAGGCTTCTGTGTGATGATGAAGCAGAAGGTAGAGCCTCCTCGCACCTGTCTGTCTTAGAAATGGCTCTTGGTGCACATTCTAGGCCAGGATCAGGTGTGGATTTGTCATAGACCAGCAGTTTCAGCTAATTTTTCAGTTACCTTTTGCCTGGTTCTCCCCACAAGGCAGTGAACATTTGCTTCTGAACATTAAGGTTGGTTTTCAGCAAGTCAAGCCTGGGTAGCTTGTAACTAGGGTGACCTAGTAATTTATCATCCAACTCAGGACACTTGAGAGCTAAAGGAACTGTTGACTGCATGGAATAGCAGGATAACTGGGACCTCTAGCCTCTGTCCCTGTAACTTAAGCATTACCTTCTCTTGTGGCCTCACCTTTCCATAGACTTGTGGCAGCAACCACATGTCCTCATTGCTGTGCTGCCTGATGCTGACAGCATAGCTGGGCGTAGGTGTCCAGTCCAGGTTGACATCTGCGCAGTGTCTTCCCAGCTAAGCTGGCAGCACCTCAAGTGAGAATCTGACCTTTTTCTCATCTTCCCACAATACAGCTTCTTTCAGATGCCTGGGTCATCCTCTGGTGCACTGATTTGACATCTGGGAGGAGAAGCAGGACATCATTTTAGAAGAGCTCTGTGTGGGGCCTTCCTGGTGGCCTAGGGGTTAAGTCTCAGTGCTATCACCTCTACCACCTGAGTTCCATCCCCGGCCACGGAGCTACCCACATGGCACAGCAGACCTCTCCTGTCTTGCCCACTGCCCGCCTTAGCCATGTATTTAGTCAATCTACCTGTTCTGCTCCCCGCTCTGTCTCTGGAATCCTCTCCCCTCCCCCATACCTCGGGCCTATACCCCCATTCTTCAATGCAAAAATATAAATTAAAAAAAAAAAAAAAGGTTCTGTGTGTGGCTCTGGTGTGCACCCAGAGCAGCTTGGCCAAGGAACAGCGGCGGGCCCAGGCCTTGGTAGCACTTACAATAAATGGTTTTAAGTCCTGATGCCTACTTGGCAAGTTCCACCAGCTTCTGATGTCATGGCAAACTGCTTCCTTAAGGACCATATCTGGGAGGACTAAAGAAGTAGACTTTTGGGCTCTGGTCTCTCCCACAGTGGTGACAACCTGCCGGCTCACAGACCCCTGTGCAGGGCCGCCTAGCCTGGTGCTTGGCATACACAGCCATAAATAAAAGTTCATAATCTTAAGGGAAAAAACAAATGATTCTGGTAATCCATTGTGACTCTGAGTGTCCTTGTCTTTGGTCTCAGGAGCAACAAGATCAGTTTCCACTTGAGAAGGTCCTAAAAGTGGCAGCTACCGAAAGGGAGTTTGGCAACTACCTTTTCCGCCAGGGTCGTTTCTATGATGCCAAAGTGAGATATAAGCGGGTAAGAATGCTTTGAAGTGTAAGCTTAGAACCTGAAAACACCCTTGTCCGAACATGTGGGCCTTGAGCCTGTCTCTCATTTTACCCCCTTGTTCTGATTGAGTCTATCCCTGAGTGTCTGGGGGTTTAACATTTTTATTTATTTTTTTAATTTAAAAATTAAATTTATTTTGAGGTGGCTGGTTTACAATGCTGTGTGTTTTAAGAACACAGGCTTATACCTCTTCAAAGTCATGTTACACATCACGCCCACCGCCAAAGGGCCAATAGCTAAAGATATATTTTATGCTTCCCTCATACTTAACAGGTGGAGTAGCAGTGTGATATTCTAGGATGCAGCCACCAGCCCTCAGATTGTAAGGAATATTGTTACAGCCTCGCTTTTAGAGTTGTTATTGAGAAGCCTATTTACTGCCGTCCTTTCTATGTGACGTTTTCTTTTTCCCTGTAGAAACTTAAGGATCTCTTCTTGTTGAGTTGTGAAAGTTCTTTATATATTATGCATTGTCAGTTCTGTCCCATCTATGTGTTTGTCCTTATGCTAGTACCACACTGGTTAGGCTACTGTAGCTTTGTAATAAATTTTGAAATTAGAAAGTGTGAGTTCCCCTCCTTAGTGTTTTGTGGTTCTCAGTCTGCAAATCTTGCACTTTACATTGCTCCTTATTCTTTTTGATGCCATTACAAATGGAGTTTTCTTAACTTTGTTTTTGTGGATTCTCAGGATTTTCTATAATAAGAGCCTGTCTCCCCTCTCCACAGGCATTATTGCTTCTCCGTCGGCGATCAGCACCCACTGAAGAGCAGCACCAGGTGACATCTGCCAAGCTTCTCGTTCTCCTTAACCTGTCCTTTACATACCTGAAGCTGGAGCGCCCCATCGCAGCGCTGCGCTATGGCGAGCAGGCTCTGCTCATTGACCAGAAGAACGCCAAGGCGCTCTTCCGGTGTGGACAGGTGAGTTGGAGGACGAGGACTTGGAAATGAATGCCCAGGGAAAGGTAACAGTGGTGTTCAACGTGGGCACTGCAAAATACCGTCTTCCCGAAAGAAGTGTTTTTTTTAAAGTTTTGTCCTTTGGCAGGCCTGTATTGTCATGACTGAGTATCAGAAGGCCCGGGATTTTCTGGTCCGAGCCCAGAAGGAACAACCCTTCAATCATGACATCAATAATGAGCTGAAGAAACTGGCCAGGTGAGACACTGTTTGCAGGAGTGCAGAGAAAGAGGTGTGATGCAGCCGCTGGTCCAGCAACCCTGCCGGAAAGAGCCCTGTGGGAATAATGCCTGGCTTGCGTTATGAGGCAGCGCCCCCTAGAGCTCGAAGTGCTTGATGCACTGAACCAGCCCCTGGGGTAGGTGGGAAGTAGCTGCAAACTACAAGTCTGGATCATTTATCATCTGTTATCATCACCCTGCTTCCCCTCACTCCTGCCCCCACAGATAAGCACCCACAAGAAGTTAAGCCTAAGAAAAAAAATTTTACTCATTAATTAAACATTTTTAATTAATGAGTATTTAATTAATGAGTTAATTTAAAACTAAGAAAAAATTTTTAAAGGTGGAGCAGCATAATTTGTTAAAAAAAAGTCTTGTTCTTCAGGAAATTTACCACCATGCTCAGCGCTCAGCTAACTATAGAAAGCTGTTTTCTAGATCCTGGTTTGATCTGAAATGGGCCCTTCAAGTCTGATTCATACGCTTGGGGTGACTTTCTTGTTGCCCAAGTGATATCTGTACGTCTTTCAGTAACGGAACTTTTTCTGATTAGAGAAGTTACATGTTCATTGTAGAAAACTTTCAAAATATCCACATGTAAATAGGACTCACCCATAACCCTATCACCTTGGAATATACTCACTGGTGTGTTTGGGTTTTTCAGGTGTTTTCTTGTTCTAATGTATTGGTGCGATGCTTTACTCCTGTTAACATTAATCATTTCATTCGTGTTCTACTTAAAGTTTTCTTGGCATTCAAATGTCTGAGATGTGTGCACCTCTTATATTTGGAACTGATTATTTCAGACCTTGAAGCACTTTCCAAAATTTTTTTTGTTATTTAAAAGTATCCTGTTGGGTTGTTTGTAGGAGTTTGGGAATCTGATCATTCTTTGGCAAGAAAATCTCAAGATAAGTTATAGGTTGGTGTGAAGGGGCACTTGGTGAGAACAGGCCTGGCAGCCTCACCGACAGTGGCCGCAGCCTTCAAGGCTTCCATCTTCACAGACTGTGGGCTTTTTGACCAAGGGCTCTAGAACCACCCTGGGGAGCCTCCCTGGGTCCCCTACCCCTCCAGCATTGCTTCCCACCCCTCATGGCTGCTGGAGCTTGTTTTTTTTAATGAATTTTTAATAAAGATTTGTTTATGCATACAAGAACTGGGGTGCAGGCCAGAGATGCTGGGGGTGAGAGGATTCACCAGAGACAGAGTGGGGAACAGAACAGGTGGATCTACTGAAACACACTGCTGAGGGGAGCAGTGGACGAGACAGGAGAGGTCTGCCTTGCCATGTGGGTAGCTCCCTGGCCGGGGATCGAACTTGTGCTGCAATGGCTGCGGATAGCTTCATAGGCTATATCTTAACCCTTTGCGCCACCAGGGAGGCCCTGGAATGTTTGTTCCTGATCTGCACGGGGAATTCCAGCCACTAGATGTCACTTGCTACAAACACAGACCTTCTCTAACTAATCTATATTTATTTCTCTTTACAGCTGCTACAGGGACTACATGGATAAAGAGAAGGAAATGTGTCACCGAATGTTTGCTCCTTATGACAGTGACTCTGTAGGGGAAGAAAACTGAAGGTAACAGAGGGCTGAGGCATAAAGGGTGTGAGGATTTTGTCCTGCGTGCAGGGGTGTATGTGGCTATTCCCAGACCCACTGTGACTGTAGCTGCATCACTGAGGACCAGTGTGTGTGGGGGGCCGGGTGGGGGGCGCAGAAACGTTCCCTATTGAGCTAACGACACAGCAGTGGTGCAGGGTGCATGCATTGTGGGTTTCTCACAGAGGAGGACGGAGAGTGCAGCCAGAGCTAGAGGTTAAATGTGTAGGTTTGGGAGGCCTCGGAGCTTTAAAGTTCAAAAAGAACAAAATAAAGTCCATTGACTGCCCCCTCACAGCAGCCTAGAACATGAAACTTGGAGTGTAGTCATTAAATGGGAGGGTTTACCTGGGCTTTGAAATGAAGAATAATGCTTTATTTAACGTATTTCCTGAAAATCTGAAAACCTCCAACCTCGCTTTGCATCTGACACATAAGAAGACAATCCAGATATTGAGGGTGGAGGCAGCCCACGACTTCAACTCTGCTAATACGAGCATCAGAGAGCTGGAAGTGTTGGACCTGAGGAGCAGAAGGGAACTTCCTGCTCGGGCATAACCCTGGGAATTTAGCAGGCACAGGGTTAAGGTTTCCCCATGAGCGCATGAGCTAACCCTCTCGTCTGGTTTACTGTTACTTAAGAAAATTAATGGAAACAAAATCACCTGCCTTAAACACCTGCTTAGCTGGGTAGATAACTCTGCTCTCATGAGAGAAGTTAAACAAGGGACAACAAGAAAACAGCTGCTGAACGGGCTCATGGTGATAAATCTCTCCTTTGTTGCCACCAACATCTCTCTACAAAAGGGGCTTGAGAGAAGAAGGCGGTGAAAGGCCCATTCATCCCGGCAGTGCTCACACGACCGCTGCAAACTGCTGCTCTCTGCCTGTCAGAAACGGCTGCCCCCAACCCCGCGGCCCAGGCCTCCAGGTCTCCTGGGGACCTGGGCATCTATGCAGGTCCTCTGACTAGACGTGAGCCAGAGGCCTTCTCTCTTTGGCTGCTGTTTGTGGCCATGGAAATGGAGGCCTGGTGGCTTGTGCCAGACACTTGGGGCTGTTACCTGGCCCGTCCCGCTGTTGAGTGGAGACCCGGCTCTTCCGGCGTCTGCCCTGGAGACAGGTTGTGTCACCCAGCGGGGCAGCGGTCTCCTTCGCTGCCTTCGCCTTCTAGCTTCCTCGGTCTGTGATGTGTTCTGGAGCCTGATGATTTTAAGATGGTTTCCCTGTACTCCCAGGTCCTGCATGTTCATCTTCTCACCAGCAGCGACTGTATTTGGGTCTAGAGTGACCATGATGGTGCTGTCCCCACTGCTGTACAGGGTTTTTTGTTGCTGTTTTTTTAGATTTATTTTTATTTATTTGTGCATACAAGAGCTGGGGTACAGGCCAGAGATGCGAGGGTGAAAGGATTAACCAGAGACAGAGTGGGGAGCAGAACAGGTGGATCTACTGAAATACACTGCTGAGGGGAGCAGCGGGTGAGACAGGAGAGGTCTGCTGCACCATGTGTGTCTGCTCCCTGGCCGGGGATCGAACTCATGCTGCAGTGGCTGGTGACAGGTTCATAGTGCTGAGACTTTAACCTCTGCGCCACCAGGGAGTCCCCCTGTATGGTTATAACGTAGCTTGGCTAGGGTGTCACAGGTGTTCTCTGTTCCCTCTTTTTCTGTTGTACTTGTGCCTAGTTGGGCACCTAAAATCTCAGGTTTTCAGATTCTTTTGACAACCTCGTTTCAACTAAGACCATTTAAAATTTGACCTTGTCTTCTGTGGATGGTCTAACATGTCAGCACTCCTGGTGGATGCGTGTTGTCGTAGTCTGTTCTCTAAGGCGCTGGTGATAGTAAATTGAAGATTTTGAGATTGAAGACCATGTCTTTTTCTTTTTTTTTTTCTTTAAGATTTATTTGTTTATTTATTTATACAAGCACTGGGTACAGTCAGAAGCGCAGGAGGGTGAGAGAATTCACCAGAGCCAGAGCGGGGAGCAGAGCAGGCAGAAGGACCGAAGTACACTGCTGAGGGGAGCAGCGGGCGGCAGGAGAGGTCTGCGCGCCATGTGGGACCCTCCTCTGGTGGCCAGGGGGCAGCCGGGGATCGAACTGGCGCTGCAGAGGCTGCAGGCAGCCTCGCAACCCAGCGCTCAACTGCTTCGCCACCAGGGAGGCCCAAAGACCATGTCTTTTTCATCTGCATATTTTCTAGCATCTGGAACCACACCGGGCACGTGACGGGTGCTCAGCAGGTATTGGTTGGACCAAGGTTAAAAGAGCTGAAATGCCAGTCCAGCCTCTTTGAAATCACACCTTCCAGGCTGGCTCTTGTGTTGGCTGCCAGGATGTGCCTTACTGCCAGAAGCCCGTCTTTCACTAGCATCAGCTAAAAAAGAGGTTTCAGGGGTGGGTCCCTGAGTCAAATGAAAAGTTGAACAGTAAATACTCAGGCGGTTAGAGAGCTGCAGTCCTGAGGGCCTCCAGGACATCTAATCTCTGCTTCACTCTCGCACCATTAGGAGTACCCAGGTGTCCAATTCCACAGCCTTCCAACTCAAGAGGGGGCCCTCCTTACCCGCCACCTTCCTCCTCTTCCTCTGTTATCTATAGCTGCATTTTGAAAAGTCCTGAGGAAGGAGTCTGGCCTGGTTTGCAGGATGTGGGGCCTTATGAGCAGCACCCCTTCCTTCCTAGCACCGCCTAGTAAGAGCTGGCAAAGGAACGATTGTCCAGAGTTGTCCAGAGTAAAAAGGCTTGTGTTTCCCAAAAGCAAGGGGCATGGAGACAATGAGCAGACCAAGGGCAGGATGCCCAGCACAGGTGTTCAGCACTCACTGTTCTGGTGAGCAGGACTGGCGGGAGTCTCCGTGATGACACAGGGGTCACCTGCCGGCAGCTCAGCGTGGAAGGAGCAGGAACGTCTGTAGTTCCGCTGCACTATCTTTTCCTTGGCCTTCCAGGGGACTTGGCAACACACACCTCAGGACAGGTCTGTCCTTGGGGATGATCTGGTGAGTCAAGATACAGGTCAGCGGTTGACCCACGTCCATCAGAAGACCTCCGGTTTTATGGCGGACCCCAGGCTAATATTTGTTGAGCCATTTTGAAACTGTTTTCCCGTGTCCGCAGCGCAGCGGAGGCCGCAGACCCGGGCTTGCACCTTCCTGTGTCCACATGTGGGCACTTCCTGGCTACCTACTCGGCAAGACCTCATGCGCCTCCACCACAGGGTGCCTTTACCAGAGGCACCAGGCAGCTTGATAACAGATGCCGTCAGAGCACAGAGCGTTGTCCTGACATTTTCTTTAATTCTTAAGTTCGTCATCATCTCCGGGTAGAGTTTGAATTGTGTCCTTCCTGTCCTTACGTGATCTTACCTGGGATTCTTGCCCCACTTTTATTGTGCCTGGAAGAGGGCTGTAAACTGAGCCCTATAGCTATTTTCAGCTATTTAAATGGTGACATTTATTTTGTGGTTTCCAGGACCAGCGAGTTGGACATAACAGGAAAACAAAATTTAGCTTAATACAAAAGACTTACTACTAAAATGCTCTACCTCAAGTGACTTTAAGTTCCTCCAACATGGGGAGCTCACACAGAAGGCTCCACTTTGGAGAGCGGCCCCATGGAGAGCCCCTGCTCCTGGAGTAAGCTGCTCCACCGTGTCCCACGTGGGTGTGGGTGGCCCTGGGATCCAGCGCTTTCTCTGCTGGTGAAGCCCCTGTCAGGGTCATTCTGCCCCTAGTGCAGGGTCCCGTGGAGGTGGGAGAGTGGGGGTTCCACGGCCCCCCTGCTCCTTGAGCTCTGACACTTTCCCATCAGACACTTGCATACTGGTGAGGGTGGCTGCTGCCCTCCTTTCAAGCACTTTTAGGAGAGTGCAGTGTGAAGTCCTGCAGTGAGCATGAGCAAAACCACACGCGGCAAGGAAACGGGAGAGACCTGGCTCAAGGTGGCGCTGCTTGCTGGCATGGCTGCTGGTGAGAACAGCATCCTAAACAGGGCCGGGGCAGGTCTTGCTGCCCGCCCCAGCAGCCTCCGTCCTCACTCATGCTCCCTTGCTCCACAAGCACCTCCCGAGAGCTGCCTCCTCACAGGCTGAATGGCAGGTGCTGGGGGGACAGGGAGAGCTCAGTGCTGGCTTTGTAGTTTGGTCTGCAAGGGCTGGTGGGCTCCGAGGATGGGATGGAATCACAGGGGACACAGGAGAATGCCACAGGGCAGCATCCTGATCAGAGCACGGCTTGGCCGGAACAGTCCCAAAGGAAATGCCTCATGGGGCGCAGGGGCAGAAGATAAGCAGTTGAGAACTGAGACTGGTTGAGGAGCAGTCTTGTCCTGGCATTTTGGTCCCCTGAATGCAGGCCGTGCTCTGTGGGCCATGGAAGAGCGGCCTGGGGTGGGAGTGGGGACGCGCCTGCAGGCATCTGAGGGGCAATGACAGCGGGAGGCAGATGTACCAGCAGGCGGGAATGGGGTCAGGAGTGTGAGGCTGCCCATCTGGAATGGATGGGGAGATAGTTTAAGTCAAAAGAATTCACATGAAAATGGAGACTTAGCTGGAGGAGGATGACCCCAGTGCAGCACCCCTTCCTTCCTAGCACCACATAATAAGAGCTGGCAGAGCTGGCAGTGAGGGGATCACTGCCCCATGGGGATGGTGGGGAAGGCACATGGAGAGACAGGCAGACTCCTGCATGGTCAAGGGGTTCATGGGGTGGGGTGAGATGGGGGGGGGGCTCACCCACCTGGCCTCCGTGCTTGGGCACAGTGTGGATGAGCTTTGGTTTGTCATCTTTTCCTTCTAGGTGGTTTTGATAGCACTGCTTGCTGTTTGAGGATTTTTTAGTTTATTTTTCATTTTGCTCAACATACTTATTAACCATCTCATATGCCAGGTATCCTTTTGCATGTTTCATGTGAGCTGTTTGAAGGCAGCACCTTTAGAATATAGCCTTTACCTTCATTGTATAGATGGTGAATCAGGCGCAAGGAGGTAACTCGCCAAGCTTGTGTCTCTGGTGGGCGAGGAGAGTCAGGGAGCGCGCCCTGCAGTCTGGCCCAGAGCCAGGGGAAAACAGCTTTAACTTCTTCTGGGGATTCTGCCATAGAGCTAAATAGTGAATTCTATTGGTATTGCTTGATTTTTATCAGGTTTGGGCCTGTGTCTGTTGACTTCCGCTGTGCTGTGGTGCAGCACCATCTCTTACCTCCCTGTGGTCTTATGACCACTTCTCGATCCTCTGTTTGATTATTGTGATGAAAACAATACTCGTGCTAATGTTTCTGATTTCATAAGCGAAAGACAGTATTTCCTGAGCTGCACTTTCTGTGATGAGAGTATGATTAACTGGAAAGTCAATACTGCACTTTTTTTTTTTTTTTAGCTTTTGTTTTTCCTGCAATTTCTAATTGCATTTATCCCAACCCCCACCCCAACCCTGAACTGCTTGCCTTTATCCTTATCTTAAAAAAAAAAAACAAAAAAAAAACACCCTCTGTGGCACCATAAGTCAATGTGTCTCCTTTCTTCTCAGGGGCTCCCCTTGGAAAGCTCCACACTGTGCACAGTCTGGCTGGGTTCTGGGGACACACCTGAGACACACCTGGCATGCTGGGGCTTCTTTTATCTGAGTTGAATCCTTTTATCTTCTTTTATCCTGAGTTGAATCCACTGTTTCCTGTATCCATTTTCTTATTTTACTTCCTTGTTACGGTATTTTTTAGTAACATCCAAAAATTACATGTAGGGGCCTCCCTGGTGACACAGGGGTTAAAGTCTCAATGCTAGCACCTCTACCTGTCTCGCCTGCTGCTCCCCTCAGCAGTGTATTTCAGTAGATCTACCTGTTCTGTTCCCCACTCTATCTCTGGTGAATCTTCTCACCCCCCCACCCCCGCTCACACCTCTGGCCTACACCCCAGCTCTTGTATGCATAAAAAGATAAATTTTTTAAAAAATTGAAAAGTTAAATAAAAATTGCTTTCTAGCAAGTCAAAGAAGCTTACCAGATAAAGGCTAGGCTGTGGAGACCACAGTCCTGTAGTTGAGATTCCGGGCTTCAGCCCCGGGTCAGACAGGTGGCCGGAAGTGAGCATGGAGCAGAGGCCCCACTGAGCTGGGTGCCAGCACGAGGGTAGCGGCGGCCTCAGGGTTCCTTTGTGCTAAAATAGCCTTCCTGTGTCCGGGCAGGACTGGTCAGTTGTCAGGAAGCCCGGGGAGCAGGTCATCATCTCTCACAGTAGTGACTAGATCCAGACAGGGAATCTTTTCTGATCCCCTTCTTCCCAAAGAGATTAGGAAGAAACTCTCAGATCTCGTATTAAGTCTAAAAGATCATACCTGCCTCTGGTTAAACTCATCTGAGTCCACAACAAATGTGTCTAGCAGTACTTTTTTTAAAAAAGATTTATTTATATATGCATACAAGAGCTGGGGTACAGGCCAGAGGTGCGGGAGGTGAGAAGATTCACCAGAGACAGAACGGGGAGCAGAACAGGCAAAGTGACTGAAATACACTGCAGGAGAGGTCTGCTGCGCCATATGGGTCACCTCCCTGGCCGGGGATCGAACTTGTGCTGCAATGGCTGCGGATAGCTTCATAGTCTGAGACTTACCCCTTTGCACCACCAGGGAGGCCCTCTGGCTATATTTTTGTAATTTCCTATCTTACTAGGTCCTTTGGCTTTCTTTCTCTGTCTCTACACTTTTTTCTCCTCCTCAAAATGGGGTTGCATTTTCTCAAGAGTAACTAGGCCAAGTATCTTATCTTGTTGTCAGATAAGTGCCATGTTTTCCAGGCAAACTGTTAGACACAGTCCCTTGATCTTTCAGAGATCTGTGAAATGCCTTTTCTCCCAGCTCAGAGTGTCAT